TTAGTTCAGTGACATTTTATCTTTATTGATGTCGTGTGGTTCTGCCATTTCTCATTAGGCTAATCGAACATAATCATTTGTCAATCAAATGCCGGGGGCTGTTGTGGATTAATTAAGGCGGGCGTTTGCCTATCACTGCACCGAGGTGTAGAGTCTCCAATCTGATAATAATAGCCCTGGCTTATTGAGTTTCAATTACTGCTGTTTTGCACACCGGCTTTGGGACCTGCCCTAACAAGCACCCCTGCACCGTGGGTAAAAACATCTTTTGTCGGGCGCGTGACTCACGAGAAATGGGTTTAAATATATAAATCACAGACACTTTAGAAATAACAAGAACTATAAAAGAACACTTCCATTTTATTTTTAGTTATTATAAATGATAAATTTTCAAATACATTTAAATGTAACTGATGATATCTTATTTCTCAGAATTTTCGATCACATAAAAATAGATTCTTCTTTGATGTTTATAATTGCAAAAGTTGCAAACAAATTAGTGGCTTAAAAAAAAATCGTATAAGTTTTGTACTTGTTTAAAATAATGTATTAATATTTGATTACAATTTAATTGCAAATATTTTCACAAAACGAATTACTTAATTCCGACGTAAGATAAGATACATATGTGTTCAACTTAATTTAAACGCATAAATAGAAATTTAACCTCTTAAAGTTTTGACTTTTTCACCTTTTGCCTAAGTTATGCAACAGATTTTTATCATAACTCAACCTAATTAACAAACCGAATAGCCAACGATCAATTGGGCAACGTTTTAAGATATGTAGTTGACCAGTGTCAAACTGAAAAGTGCCAAGTAAACCAGTCACGTATAGTATGTAATCACGCACACACCTCTGGCCCAGGTTTTTTTTTTTTTTTTTTTTTTTAGATGCCTTTTACATACATATCTGATATCCCGCGAAACAGAGAGCTTGGGCCGGTGTGGCTGCCCATTCATTGCCATGTTTGCCCACGTCGTCGCCAGTCGTAAAATGCAAATTGCATGCAATCAACGCGTTTTTCGTTTAATTATTATGAGAATTTTTTTTTTTTTTTTTTGTGTTGCGCTGGCACGGAACGTGCCAAGTGCCATTCGCAACAGCACAACAGCATACAGCAGCAAAAACAACTTGATCCGCCCGCCCGGCGGATTTCAGATACAGTACGGGTATTATCGGCCTTTGTCTGGGCCGCCCGGGGGCTGCCATTTTCAATTAAATTACCGGCCATTGGGCGCAAATTGCGATGCTCGTCCGCTAGTCGCATTGTTGATCTATCTATGTATATATGTACTAAATGTGTATGTGCGAAATAAAACTCCACTCTAATTAGTTTACATTATTTATTGGTTTCGAAATGCTACACCTCCAATTGGGGGCCACTAATTAATTTAATAATCCTATCCCTGCTGCGCCACGTGATCTACATGCAAGTCGAACAAAATTGTAAATTGTGCGAACATCAACTTAAATTTAGACTTCATTTAAAAATGACAGAATCTTTTTATTTTGTTCACCCAGCCGCTCGCTGACTTTGCTTAAATTTATCGCGCTTTTTGGGCAAGAGACATTGAACTCAAAAGTGTGTGAAGGCATTTTATTTGTTTGTTTCTGTTTCTGTTTCGGTTTCTGTTTCAGTTTAAGGCGTAGGCGGTCGGCAATGAAATGCAAATGTTGGCTAAATAAATGAGCAGGGAAATATGTTAATTGGAACATTGACAGCTAAGTGATTTTCTCGTTAATGTCGATGAGCAAACCCCATGGGGTTTAAAATGGGGAAAGACAGCTACAAAAAAACTGCTAAAAGTAGAGGAGGAAATATACAACTGATAAACACGGTACTTCATTAGGTAATGTATACCGAAATTTATTGCTTGACTTTGTTTAATTACTAAGTACTAGATGCTTAAGCACGGCTATTATTGGCATAAACAAATTCAGCACACTGCCACAGAACATAAAGAATTTTAGAGACTAGTTATTTTTCTTAAACCTCTCTTGAAAACGTTGAGTTAAAATTCTGTTTTATTTTTTGACAAAGCTCTTTCGATGGGTATGAATAAAACCAGTTGAATAAAACAATTCCCACCAAATCAGGACATCTCACACACAAGTGACTCCTGTAGAGCGCCAAGAATTTTCCATAAAAAGGCATTCTCAATTTGGTTTCGGAATTCTCATACTTCACAATACGTGACCGGGAGTTGTAATGTGCAGGAAGGAGCGAAAACCACATAGCACGCACACCACCACTTGAATGGAGAATATTTGAATTGCAAAATGGAGTGGACAAAATACAAATATAATTTGTGCAGTATATGCAAAATTGATTAGATTGGGTGCGGTTTGGCCTGGAACAATGTTCGCTTTATGGAAAATTGAAATTAGTTGACTTCATCCCCTCCACAGAGGAACACACAAGCCCGACACATTAAATGGCATGCATAATTGAATTATCGAGTGGGTGGGTGTCTGTTGTGTTGTGTTGTGTTGTGTTGTCCAGCGTAGAGTACCCATCCAGATAACAGATATAACAATGAAGGTGTATGTTTGCAGGCTCCAATTTTGACCAGTTGAAACAATTCCATGTCAATTGCAGGGCGTAATTAAATGGAGAAGGAGCCGTAGTCGTCGTGTGTTAGAAATTTAATAGAATTGCCACAGGGCGAATGCATGCGTGAGTATCTCGGTTTCTGTGAGGATTTACGAGCCATTCACAACAGCCACCGACAATGGAAATTGCAATCCTGCTTTTCCTGCCTGTCTGTCTGCATGCATGTCCTGTGGAAAACTGCTTGTGTATGCACATATGCAAGTCAAATAAACGTAATAATAAAATTGTTGCATACCACTCGGTCTGAATACGTTATGCAAATGAGAAAGGGGATTGAGGGTGAGGGTGAGGGATATCAAGGGTGAGTGCATATATCCGATATACGCATTTTCTCTGCATGTATACAATAGAAGTCATAATAATAGTACTGCAAATATTAATAACCTTAGTAAATTGGCACCATGATTTTACCAATTCAACCATTATATATTTGTTTTTTTTCTATCTCCTTTTTTCAATTAGTTGGTTGCATGTTCAGTGCTATAAATTTGGCATCAACTGATTGAATGTGTATTACCAATTTGCATACTCCCCTTTGTTCAACGCTCGTCGCTCGGCATGATTGAAGGGTGGAAAACACTTCAATTAGAGTTCTTTATTTGTGGGCGTTCACTGTACGTACCTGTGTTCTGTTAATCACTTCTCGGCCAGAAAGTATAGAAGGGAGAGCAAAGCGCTAAAATAACAATTTAACAACTTGTTCAAGACGAGCAACTTTGCCTCCACCTGTCATCCCTCCACCTCTACACTCTACACTCTTACCACTTACTTTGCGCCTCACCCCGGTAACCGCTCAACCTCGTTATTGTCATTACCATTATATGAATGTATGCATGAACAATGCTCGGGTAATTATTGTTTTGGGGACAGACAGAGGCGATTGCGTGACTCGAGCACATTTGTTTTGTTTACGGAAAGTAATTGCAAAAGTTGTTTCAATTTTGCCCAACAGCGATAGCTAGCCAACCAAAGAGGGTTAACAATCGCTCCTGTAAACTGAAAACTTCTGCGAAATGATGGGGATGGGGAACGGAGCAGGCCAGGCAAACAATGCATAATTGGCATCAGCTTAATGCTTTAACTTGCCAAGTGCCAGTGGGGAAAAACAAAATGCAAAATGCTACCAAACCAAACCAAATGCCCACCCAAAAACAGCATCAAAAACGCATTTACTCCGCCCACCCAAACGATGGCGCTGGGCGGAAAAGTTTTTAGTTCAGCGGGAGGAAAAAAAAAGAATAAAATGAAAAGTATATGTGTATATAAAAAATTGTAAAATAGTGAGGTGGGCGTGTGGGTGTGGCCAACGTTCTTTTTGTGCCATTTTCTTAGTTGCTTTGTTGAAATTACAAATTTCTTTTGCTGTGTGCTCTCTTTTTTGGCATTTTTCCTACCCCTTACCCTCCGTGCTGCACATCCGGCGCAAAAGTGCATGAAAAGCGCAAAAATGGCACAACTACTATATATCTTCTTCCTCTTCTTTATATTTTTTCACTTTTTGTTGCCGCGCTGCATAGTGCAAAAGAAGAAGAGGAACCAAAACAAGTCGGACAGTCAGACTGACACTCAGTCATTTTAGCATTTCAGCCATTCAGTCAGCGAGTCATTCGCATGTTATCCACTTTGTTAAGGTAGTTCAGGGGATAAGATACGCACCAAAAACATGAATATAAATTTATGTTGTGAATACCCTATTTTTGACATTTTATTCATCATTGAGGTCACACTGCTTAAATTTTATGAATTACGAATTTTATGATTGTTTGGTATTTAAATTAAATTTCAACAAATAGATATAGTCATAAAGGGTATTAATTCATTGAACACCTAAAAACGTAGAAGGAAACTAATTTAAACTAATAAAAAAAAATAAACATATCTATTGCTGACACACCCTATTGAAGACTTTTCAGTTTTTCCGTCGCTCATGCCTTCTGTATTTTCCTGTTATAAGCTGCAAGCGAACGAAAAAAAGAAATATATGTTTTTTGCGAGCATTTTGGCCAAAAATGTTTGTGAATTATTTAAGGGGAAACCAAAGCGTCCCAACCAAACAAAGTGAGTGGGGAGGGAGCAGGAAGGAGCTGCTGTGGGGCACTTAAAATTCAACTTGCTAAATGAATTTGAGGCAGAATTCTGCCAGCCGTCAGATATTTTTCATTTTTCCCTTTATTCGTTTCCATCAGTCCCATATCTCACTGTAAACATTTTTGATTTACCCATTTGAGTTTTTGGTTTATTTTGTGTGCGTCAGTTTGATGATTTTCAAATGCAAATTAAAAAGAACCCATTTATTAGTTTTCTGTTGAAAAAATTTTATAATATACATATTTAATTGCAATCGTAATTAATTTAAATTTATTATTGTTCTCATTACAGGTTGGTATTCAATTACTACGACTTTCAAACATTTTTCGATTAATTGTGTGTAAGTAATGAAAATGTATTGTGGAGATATAAGGAAGAACCTTAATTAAATTGTTTGTTTTATATGCTATATATATGAAAATTATATTAAATTAAATTGCACATAGAGGTAACATTTTCTTTAGCCTTTTAATGGCTTTAAAATTCCCATTGAAAGCGACTTTCACCCTGACTGAACAAATCGAAAAAAGAAGGGACAACGAGTGAGTCATTGAGATAAATAGCCAGAGTATTTGGCAAATTGAAATCAAATCGATAGCAGCGGCAAATCAAATTGAAGTCCGTTGCGGCAAAATACGAAAACACGAATCAAACTTTGACTTGGCAATGGGAGAAAGAGCGCAAAAATCCGAAAGTGCGCCAAATGCAACTAAGCGATACATAATACCCAAAAGAAAAAGCAATCCCCACCAAACTCCGCCGATGCCTGCCAGATAAAAGATGATTGAATGCAACTGGCTGGCGCTGACTCCCCGATTTCCCTCCAAAAGACAGGCCCCCTGCCTTCTTGTCTGATTAACATAAATCGTGCTGGCTGCCGCTGCCGCCGCTGCCCGACTATATCTTATTTCGATTTTTTCCTCGCCTTTGGTTTGGTTTGGTTGGTTTTATTTCATTTTGTTTTGTTTTGTTTCTCTCAAATGAACTACGGGCTTATGCAAAGCTCAGATGGCGGCAAGGCAACAGCAGCAGCAGCAGCAGCAGAAATTGAATGGAAGCGAGCTGAAAAATAAAAAATAAATAAAAACGAAAGGCACCACTGAAATAAAATTCAAATGTGGAAGGAGCAGGAGTTCGAGCAGGAGCTGGTGGATGTGGATGTAGATGACGATGTGGAAAGGTGGGCAACAGCAACACATCAGTGCCTGCCTCCTGACTTTTATTGCAATCGCAGGTCTCGAATTTAGCGCAGGCTCCAACTTCGAAAACGAAGACCAAAACTTAACCCATTTTCAGCACAGCTGTGTGAAAAATGTGTGATTTAAAAAATGGGAGTCAAAATTACAGTTTCGATTTTCACAGTCGGATAAATTTAAATAAAAACATAAATTGGCCAAATCCACGGTCGTAAAAAAATTATGTTTTTAAATAAATGTGAGATTAAGTTTATTTAATTTATTATGATATCGGAATATTTATATTTGTTCATACCATCTTTTGACAAACAACGTTAAATTTTCAACGAATGGAAAACATGAAGTTTAACTTTAGGCAATTATTTTCAAAATATATATTGACTGTTATTAGTTGTAATAACTTTCCTATAAAGTTATCAGCATTATGTAAACATGACATGTTTCCTCCTCAAGCACTATGAGTAAAACCAATTTAGCTGGCAACATTTTAGACTTCCTTTGTCCCAAAAATCGAATATTTTTAAAGGCAATCAAAAGTCGATACCAGAGACGGGTTAAACTTTGTGCCGTTGGTGCTGCTGATGAGCATGAGAATGATGTTGCTGTCGGGTTCCTCTTCCTTTTGGCTCTTTGGGTTTTATCTTTTTGTTCGTTTTCTGTTTTTTGTTTTTTTTTTTTTTTTTTTTGTTTCCTTCGCTTCGGTTTGAACTTCATTGTTGGCTCGCTTAAAATTCCAAACAGCAAATTGCAACTGCCAACAATTTCGAGGCTATCAGTGGCATAGCATCAGGCAACCACGTCGCTGGTGGCTGCTGCTGTTGCTCCTGCTGCTGCTGTTGCTGCTGGTGGAGATGCTGATGTTGCTCCTTCCACTGGCAGTAATTTTATGCAAGATGCTATCTCAACACACCTCAACACGCCTGCTGGAAGAGAGGCAAAGAAATGCATGTAAGCCATTTCACTGGGTTCTGCTTCTTGGCAATGTTGCTGCTTGTGTTGCTTGTGTTGCTGTTGTTGCTGCTGTTGCTGCTGTTGCTGCTGTTGCAAGTATGACAAACAGCCTGCTGCCGTCTTTTGAATGGAATTCAATTCCCATGCAGCAGCAACCCTAGACGTCTCTCACATCTCGTGCCTTTTGTCTGCCTTTTATCTGCTGATGTTGCTGCCGTCGTTGCTGTGTTGCTGCTCCTCGGCACAGCAGCAATACTTGTTTAGCTTGTTTGCCGCTGCTGTTGTTGTTGTTGTTGTTGCTGCTGCTGTGGCTGCTGCTGTCTCCCCTGCTGATGTTGCCGCTGCAGTTATTGCCATTGTATCTTGATGCCTTTCAAGTGCCAATTGTGCGACCGCCCCGAACCTTTATTTTTTTTTTTTTTTTGAGAGAGACAAACTCATTGCTTATTTAATTTAAGGTGGGATTTTCAACGTTTTCCCCTTCTTTACTTTTGTGTCACGAGCGAATTTATTCAAATTGAGTTGATAATAGTTGCGCTACTGCTGCTGTTGCTGTTGCCGCCGCTGCCATTCAAGTGTTAATTGTTGTCGGCACCCTCTGAGGAGATTTTCTGTGTATTTAATAAATATTTGCACAGCAACAATAACAACTGTCAAGTTTAATCAACAATGAGAACAGCATTTTGCTCCTTTATGGCCAACTCTAACTCTGGTCCGTCGTAATTCACGATTTCCTGCTGTAATTGAAAAGATACCAAGACAAGTTGGTGCTGCTGCTTTTGCTGTTGCTGTTGCTGCTACGGCAGCAACATTTCAGCCAGTCGCCGGCAGTCGCGGCAGTGCATTAATTATTCATGAGTTGTCGCGCAGGCGACATTGCAGCAACAGCAAGAGCAACAGCAGCAACATCAGCATTAGCAGCAGCAGCAACATCAGCAACAACAGCAGCAACAACTCGGAGACAGCGGCAACATAATTATTCATGCGCGCTTATCGCCAGTAAGGTAGGCAACACCATTTTAACCACAAGCGGATTATAATTATCAACAGTTGCCATCAGAACTGACAGACGGACAGTTGCTACTTGGAGGCGCAGCAGCAACATGTTGCTGGCGGTGCACAATGCATGGGTAATGACCATGGTGATGATGATGATGATGAAGCCAAAAACGCGCAGCAGCAAATATAATTACACGGCCAACAACAAGACAGACAGCTGCTTTAATTGATGTTGATTGCTATCAACAACACTGCCTCCGAGTTCTTCGCTTTTTGACAGGGTCTCTCGAGTTCTCCGCTCAATTGGAATTCTTTTCATTGCCCTCCTTTGTCAGAGGTGGAAACCTTTCCAAAATAATGAACCGAAAGAAAAAAAAACAGAAACAATGGAAAACAAAATCCCCTATTGCATGTCAGCATGACATTAGGAGCAATCTTGGCCAAAACAACTGAATTAGCATTACTAAATTGTGATCGGATAATGACTAAATCAAAACGGAACCATATACGCCCACGCTATAAAATGTATAAATGTGATCAATATTAAAAATGTAACTAAAAGTCCAAAAACACTGCTTATAAGCAATGATTGAAAATGGCTCGTGCCTAAACAATCTGAAAATGATATGAACTCCTAAGCGCGTCGGTATTTAAACACTTGTTCAACCAATAATTAATCCAATCAATTTAATGCTATTCTTCATTATACTGGTATTATTAGAAATAAATATAAGCTGCTTAAATTTTAAAATTTTGCCCATTGCTTTGAGAGAGGTTGAATGTTGCGGCTTATAAATAGGATTTATTATTAAGCTAATAAAAAATGGCATTAAACTCGCTCAAAGCCCAAATTGAAAATCTCTACATAACACAAATCCATAATTTCCTTACAATTAAAAATACAAAGCGAATTGCATTAAAAGAAAGCCATTAAATTGAAATTACTAGACAAGCTGCTAACATTTTCATAAATTTTCTTTTTGGCCTAACTTTTTTTTGCTTACATTTTGTTTTTTGGCACCCCCCAACAATCTAATGGGTCATAAATCGGATTTATAATTTAGCTGCTGCAGCTAATGTTCGCACATATATTTATTTTATGCTTTAATATACACATTTATTTTCCGGGCCATTTGGGTTTATTACCCAATGCGGTAGTTAAGTTATTTTGCTGGTAATTAAAACTTGTGGGGGTTGTCAAGGCAACTTTTTATTCCTTGATTTTAATTTGCCGGTTCAGCAGAAGTCCTGTGATGAATCAATCAAAATTTAATTTGCCACCGGTCCACAGTAAGCATTTAAATTTTAATTAACATTTTTGAATTGTGCAAAAAGAGCATCTCCCCTCTCTTTTACTTGGGGGTATTTATCCCGTAAAAATCTTTACGCAGGCCATCTCTCTTGCACTCTCTTTTGAAATGAAGTTTTTAGAGGGGGAGAGGGAGCGAAAAAGAGAGCGAGAGAGCAGCGGCAGCCATGTTTGTTGTGTGGCGCTCACTCATTAAAGCCTGGCTGTGTGAGCAGGATAGCAACAGGCTGCTACAACTTTTGGCGCATGTTGAGCTGCGCATGCAAAAAAAGCAAAAAGGAAGATGAAAAGGAAGGGGGTTCAGAAAAAGGAGCAGAAAGATGTGGTGGAGAAGGAAGTGGTGAAGAAGGAGGCGGTAGAGAAGGGGAGTTGGGGGGGGAGTGGGAAGCTTTGCGACGCCTGCTGGCTTTTAGTTTGCCTTTTAAATGTTTAAACGATTAAGTCGAATTTTAATTTGGCCGCAAAGCATAACACGACTTTACACACACACTTTTTGTTTGTTTGAGTGTGTGTCTGTATTTTTCGCCCCTAGTTGCGGGCCAAAAACTAACAGAAATGTAAAGCAGGCAATAAAGTGGCAACACGCTGACTTTGCCCATAAACTAACTAGCCGGAATCTGTTTTGGGGGCGTGGGCGTTTCTATCTGCCCGCGCTTTGTTGTTGCCTGTCCATTTGGAGATGGTAGTGCAGACAATATACGATAGACATGCAAATCAGTGTGTCAGTTTGATTCAATAAAATGAAAAAAAGTAGCAAGAAACAAGAAAATAAACTTTCGTTTTGGCCACAATTTTTGGGTAATATTAATTTGGCAAAAAAAAAAAAAAACAATAATTTAAAGAAGTACATTTTAAACATTTCGATAAGATCAGTATGTTTTTTATTTTGTGCATGCAGTAATTCAATGAGCTAATGCTAATTTTTATAAACAATTTTTTTTTTTGTATTTATCGTTTTCCTAAAAAATTCCTCCAAGTCCTCTAAACAAATAACAATTTTCGTTTAACATTTAAGAAAACAATAAAAACATTGAGCTTCAGTATTAATATGAACAAATACAAATTTTAGGTAAATATAAATGTAGCTTTATTTTGCTCGCAAATAAACTGTTCGAATAAATATGTTTAGTCATTGATCGAAACTTCAATGGAGTATGATGCATTGATATTTGTAACTTGAAAAGAATATTGTAGTTACTTTCATAACACAATAATTTGTAACATTAAAGCTTACAAAACGGTACTTTATCTTAATTTATAACGTTTTTTGTACTGTACTACTTAAAATTTCTCCCTCAAGACAAAATATTCATTTGCCCCTTGGGATGCCAAGCTGCCCAAGTGGATGAATGAAATATAAACGAGTCTCTGGCTTTTGGAGCCCAAGTGGGGGGAAAAGTACTACAGCAGCCAAAAGATGACTCGTCTTTTTCCCTTTCTCTTTCGATCCGTCTTCACCTCTGTCGTTTTTCTCGCTGCCGACACTCATTAATGTTTAAAGTGTTTTATGATATGCATAATTGCTTGTACAGATAATAAAGTTTTCTGCCCGACCAGTGACCACCCCCGCTTAGCCTTCAGCCCCTTGGGTCATTTGTCCATTCACTTAATTAAAATGCAAATGGAAATTCTTCAAATGGCTTGCAGTGCGGCGGAAAAGCCATGGGGGAAGTGAAGTGCTGGAGAAAGAGAAACGTGCATATCTTATGTCTCTGTTGATGACAAGTTTCTTTTTCCCCGATGTTTTGAGTCTGTACACAAGGACAAAAACATATTAAAGATAGGATTTTTTTATGTAAAGGTGCTTAAAAATGTTCTTTTAAAGTTTTATTATTATTTTTTTTCTTTTTGTAATTTCAATTTAAATTTAGAAAAAAAAAAACATTTGAATAAGAGTTTTTTTGCTGAATCAAAAATTTTGGAAATCTCTCAAAGAAGATTAATTGTGTGCCTTTTAAAAGATTCTTCGTTTTCAGATATAATTTTCGTCTCTTTATTGCTGTGCATACTGCTAAGTATTTTTCCCGGTGTATTCCTGATATTTGCGGAAGTTTTCCCCCTGTGCATTGTCTTCTTTGCTGTAGTATCTTTTGGTGTTGCTGCTGCTACCGAGTTTACGACGCGTGAACGGCAACAGCAACTCATCCACACAAAAAGAGGCGACAAAATCCTCTGCTTTTTTCCCTTTTAAATAAGAGGGGAAAACGATCTTCGATGCTTCTGTCTGCATCGTCAGCTTCTTGTTGGCTCCTTTTTTTTTTTTTTTTTTTATCATTTTTGTTTTTATTGTTCAAGCCTTTCCAGTGAATTTTTTGATGATATCTTTGAATGTTAACATTCACAAAAGCGTAAAAATTGTTGCCCCTCTTATTTTCAGCCGTCTTTATTCCCTCGCTTTCCCCTGTTCTGGCATTAGTTTATATATCGGCTTTATGAGGCACTTTTTACTGCTCAACCTCTGCTCTGGACCCTTCGTTCCTCCGTTTATGTGCGTTCGTTCGTTTGGGTATTAAGTGAAATTCTTTTGTGTCGACAAGCAAAAATAAAATTCACACACTGCCGAACGTGCCGCAAAAAAAAAGAGGGAGAATAAAAGTATACACAGAGAAAAACAATCTTTGATTATGATTCCAAAATTTTCTTGCTTAAATATTAATGAGATTAAAAAACCAGAAAGGATATTATAAAGGGACAGGACAAGACAGCACAGGACCTTAAATTTGAAGACTAGAAATAACAGAGGTTGACTAAAGCTTAAGACAGATGTTAAACAAATTCTCTTGTAATTTTTTTCACGAGAATCCAAATTTAAATTGACTTTAAAATTTAACGAATTCTGTAAATTTAAATTCTTATATTAAGAAGTCTACAGTTTTTCTGCAGTGCAGAATGAGATGGAGTAAAACCAAGTCACACAATGGTTTTTAGAGGGAACAACGAAGGGTTGGCGGTTGTTAAACTGGCAACTGGGACTTGATGATGATGCCGCCGCTCTGTTCCTCACCTTTCCTCACCTCCTCACCTCGACTTACCTTTTTTTCCCCCTCGATTTTTACCTGGCGGGCACAATCTCTCACAATAACAACAACAAAATCAGGAGGGAGAAGACAAAAAAAAGGTGCAAAAGCAACAACAAAGGAACCGAAAACGAGCGACTGACGGAGTGAGAACAGCAACAACAACAACAACAACAAACAGCAACAACGAAATACACCCAATGACAAGCTGCTCGGCAATTTGACATAATTTATACGTCAAATTACTGCAAATTGATGCTAAATGGCTTCAAATTGAATTGACTGGCGCAGAAGAGGCAACAACTACAACAACAACAACGAAATTGTATGTGAACAAAATAAAAAAAAAAAAAAAAAAAAAAATAAGCAACACCAACAAAATGTAGCGCCCTCGCGGCGAAAATGGCAACAACACAAACCACTATAGAAACAACGAAGCCAACTCACCGTGTCGATAGTTGTTGTAGTTGAAGTTGTTGTTGTTGTGTTCACTCAAACGAAAACATTTTGAATTTTTAACGTGGGGGCATCTTGGGTTGCTCTAGCTTTTTCTGTTGTTGCTGTTGCCGCTAATGTCGCTTCGGTTGCTTATGGTGTTGCTGGTGTTGCAGTTGTTTTTGGTGTTGCTGCTTTATCTTCTATTGTTGTTGTTGCTGTTCCTGATGTTCCTACTTCTGTAAATGTTGCTGTTGTTAACGTTACTGTTCTTAGTGTATGTTGTTTTTTGTGGTTTCAGTTACCTTTTCTGTTTAAGTTGTTGTCACTCCTGATGTCGTTTCTACTGTTGCTGTGGTTTATGCTACTCTTTTTATTCAGATTATTTTATCCTTAGCTTTGCTATTGCTTATGTGACTGCTTTAGTTCTATCATATATTGCTGTGGCTAGTTTGTTGTTGCTTTCGAAGTTGTTGCTCTTGAATTTGCTCTGTATGTAGATGATGTTGCTGTTCAACCTGACTAAAAACCACTATCAAAGGAAAGAAAAAAAAAAAAAAAGGCAAAGAGGTAGTTTAAGTAAAAGTAAGATAGATTCGCTTATGCAAGGTGCGAAAATAACAAGTTAATCTTGGCAAAGAACTTCACCGGCACCCTTTTGGCTAAAACCAAAAGATTACTTGCCCTATTTTTGGTATTCCTTTATTCTATTCTCGTAATAACAGGGCAGAGAAAAGTGAAAATTACCTAGAAATCCGCAAATTGGAATCATTAAGAAAAGGGTACTTAAGCGGTTTAAAAAAACTACTTGCTATAATGTAATACAAATCACAATATAAAATATTTAAATAACATTTAAAACTATTAAGCTATTCATTAACAATTTATACAATGATACTCAGAATGTCAAATGCACACTTAATTCAAACCAAACCTAAACAATCTCATTAATTTTCCACTAATTCCGTAATTCCCACCTCTTTCTCGTTGCAGGTAAGCATTGCCTTTTGGCTTTAAGCGGATGACTGAACTAAATGTAGCAAAAAGCTAAAAACAGCTCAATTGTCGACACACCCACTCAACGCCTTTCACACCTCTTTAAAGCGAAGCGCGCGAAAATAGTGTAGGTAAAAAGGAAGGAAAATTCCATTTTAGCGCGAAAAAAGAAAGCCATGAAAATATGTGCAATCGCCATAAAAAAGTGCAACTGTCAACGAAACACAAAAAACTTTGTTGTTGTTTACAATTTGCCGTTGTTGCAACAGCAGCAGCAGCAGCAGCAGCAGCAGTGCGCTTGCAAAATATTGAATTCAATTTAAAGCGCAAGGGGCGTTCATAAATCTCCGACAATTGTGCGCAAAGGAGCGGGAGAAAGGCCCACAGGGCAGGGGAATCGGTGAAAGAGTTAAAGTCGGATTATGGTCATGCCCTCCCTTCGCTTCGCTTCGCTTCCCTACCCTTCCCTTCCCGCCCCAACCCATTCCATCCCAACCACTTATTGTCCGCCGTCGCCTTCTCATCCGCTCACTCATTTATTCCTTTTGATTGCAGTCGTGCGAGGGAGGTGCAAACGGAGGGGAGATCGTAAACTGTCAGCGCAATTAAAATAAATTGAAACTGAACTTTCGCACACACAGTGAGAAAATCTTATTTATGGTCCCTGGAAAATATTAAAGCAAATCGCTTAACAGTCAATATTTTAAAATAATATCTCCCATCATCAGTACCTTTTTCTTAAGGTTTAAAAATATATTTATAAAACTTTTACTTCGCTGTAATTTGAACCATATAATTGTAATTAAATTCAAGTTTTTTGAACTCGTTTTGTTTAAAGAAAATAGAGGTTATCCTAACTAATATCCTGATCACGAGTTAAGCCCTTGATAAACTTTTATGTCTGTTACACAGATTCTGTATCTCAAATCAGTGTTCTCTATGCAAAATATTAGCAATGGTTCTTATAAAAACTTAAGCTATAAAAATTGAAAGAATAATTTGGTTTTTCTCTGTGTGAATATGAAATTTAAGATAACTTTTCCCGCCCAGCTGTCGCATAATTCATCAACTATTTAGGCGGCAACAGAAGGAAAATTGAAGAAAAATTTGCGTGTGTGTCGCAAAAAGTTTTTCATTTTTAGCATCTTGATGTTTGAAGACACAGGGGGAAATGGTGAAGTGGAGCGCAGCAACTTTGCCTGGTAGCCGGGCCAGAAAACGGTTTGCCTGCCATGGCCATGGGCAACTAAATGAACGTTCCACAGTCTTCGGTCTTCAGTCTTTAGTCCGCCGTCCGTGGTCTGTAGTCCGTCCCTTTCTGTCCGTTCCGTCCGTCGTCCAACCCATCTCTTTCCCCTGCCCCATCGCCCGTCTCTTTCTGTTCGCTTACCTTCCTTCTCAGCTCGTATCTCAAATTGTTCAACTTCATCAGCAAAAAAGTAAGGGAAAAGATGCTGCTGCTGTGGATTGTAGATGTGATTGTGTACTGAAAAAAATATATAATAATTTTAAAGTATTTAACCAATAATATATAAATCAAACCTCTGATGAACATCAAAAGAGAAAAGTATGGTTGATAACCAAAAAGCTCTTTTCGGAATGCAAACTAATAAAATAGTTTTGATCTATTAAGATATATTAAAAGTCTTGAAAATGTAAAATTTGTAGATTGCTAAATGAAAATTATTTCTTAAATATGGTCATATAAGAACTTGCTTTTATGCAACAACGCTTATAAAGAACTTTTTTCTTCTGTGTACCAAATCACACCAAGTCAGGCAATCCCTTATCCCCTACATATCTCCTCTGCCCCTCCCTCACTCCTCATTCGATTGTCATGAGTCTGAGACCGAGACTCTTTGCTTTTGTCCTTTTTGTTTTCGAACGGCAGCAGGCAGCATCGGGCGACTAAGACCCCGAGGACCCAGAGCACTTGAGCATGGTTTCTGAGTCGAGGAAGTCAAGGGAGATACTCGTACGGTGAGGGATCGGGATTCGGGAGTCGGGAGTTGGGAAAGGGCTGGAGGGTTTCTGAGGAGCCGCACGAGAAGTTAAGCGGATGCATAATACGGCAAAAATGGCTTGAAAACGAGAAGGGAATGCTGTACATAGGGGACTCGATACTTTTAATACCCTTCAGCTTACAGGGTTATACAAAATATATTTAAATAGGATTACTTAAGGTAAATTTGAAGTAATAAATATCAGAAAGGGATAAAGGCTTTATTAAGACATCAGCTGAACGGGGATCAATTGAAAATAAGTTTAATTGAAACTGAATAACTGCCACAAAATGTAATGAAAATAGTATTTTTTGTGGATCTGTCATTGTTCCTAGTTTGTTCAGTCAAAATTCCAATTCAAGGAGCTGCCAGAATGGCCTTCGTCCAGTGTGACGAAAATGACTTCGACGCCCTTCGAGAGGCTCAAAGGATGGTGGACTCTTGCCAGGACTTTGCGGACCACTTGATCGTGGCCGAATTCCTGCCCCATTGTCGTTGGGTGGCCTACATCAATATTCGCACCCTCGAGCAGGTCATCTATTGTGTGCAGCTAAGTCGCGTTGGCTATCGGATCGTGGCCTATGACTTTGATAACGTGGCCGATGAGGTGGCCAATTGTGACACCGTCTATGAGTCTGCCCACCAGCTGTTGGCCGGCATAAGTCCATTGTATGCTGAGAAATATGGCCACGGACGAGAGCCTCTGAGGAAGCGAAAGGAGCAGTAGTCACAACGGGGCGTGGCATGTGAAGAATTTGTCTGCTAATTGCTAATTGCCGCCCCAAAAAGTGATAATTAAGCGTTTTGCAGGTAAATGACTTGATTGCAATAATAAAGCCCGAGGCAGTGAGTTGGATTCGGGGTCTGCCATTTGATTAATTGCCGCCAAGTGTGCACAGACAGAGGGGTGAAGCAGGAGCAAGAGTAGGAGCTGAAGCAGGTTGCCAGTTGATTGACTCAACTTGGCACTCTCCGGACCTTTTGTAGCGAAAAAAGTTAACAAGTTTTTGTGCCGTTCCACTTGACTGCCGCCGTCGAAGGAGGCGAATGAAGATGCAGACGGTTGAAGCTCCAAGCTCCATGCTACGTACGCTGAACACTGAACATTGAACATCGAACACCCAGCCCAACCCAGCCCCACTTGTATTCCTCTTTTTGGCCGGGCACCAAGCCAACTAAGGTTTTTATCTAGTTGAGTCCATCTAGTCGCTTTTCCGTCCGTCCCTCGGGTGTCTGCCGTGGACAACTCACAGATACACACGCTTACAACTGTGGCTGCAAACTCACAGATGAACAAACGCAGATACAGTCGGCCATCGATAATAGCACATCATTTGTCTACTAGAATTCGACTAAAATCATGTGCAAACCAAATTTTAAAGAAGGAGTATTGTTTTGGTTACGAAAAGTGTTCAAATATTAAGCTAAAATAGTTTAGCATGAAATAGAACTTAACTAATTTAATTTGCTTTTGTGAAACATTTTTTTGAACAATTATTTTTCAAAAATATTTTTAAACATGTTCTAATTAATGGATTTTTAATATAAAGAGTAAATGGTAATTTTGTTCAACTAGTACAACCTTTGTAAAGAATAGATATTTTGCGATATAAATGTTAAGAATGGTTTAAAAAAAATTACATTTATAAAAAGTAGTGTGCAAGGTAGTTCTACTGTAGTTGAGCGAACGCATTTGCTTTGGCGTTCGTATCGGCCATGTCTATCTGAGTTGGCTCTCCACTTGTCTATGCTCGTATATTTGTCCATTGAAGCATGCAATTGATTGCTGCAACGGCAACAGCAGCAGCATTATCCCCTTCCTCTGTTTCTGCCGCCGCCCCTTGAAACTCATTCCCTCATAGCCCCGCCCCCCTCTCAGCCTGCTGCGCTTTAATTGCCTTTTCATTGCGGCCCGTCGGCCTTTTGACTCAGTAATGCCCCCCTTTGGCCCCTTTCAACGTCTCTCTCTGTGTGTGTGTGAGTGTGTAATTTGTGGTTGTTGTTCTCTGTTAATGCATTACATGAATTTTAACAAGCTTTGCATTCTGACTGAATACCCCCCCTTTTGCCTCCTTCTTGTTTGTTTATTGTAGCCGCATCTCTCTGCGAATGCAGACATAATTTAACCTTTCCCTGCCTAAGTTTAATGCATTCCATTTTGCAAATTTTCAATCAATGAGCATCGCAAATTGAAGTAAAATTTTACATGCACAAGATCGAAATCCTCTCGCAGTTTAATTAGTTAAAACACGGAATTGTTGGCAATAAACTAAGCCTGTTTATAATACCAGTTACCATATTTAGAACCAAATTAGATCAAAGCACTTAACAACTTTATCACTTAATCAAGAGATTATTGCAAACAAGTTCCATTTGGATTTTATTATTTAGGTAAACTAAACTCGTTAAAAAGCTATAGTAATAAAAAACAATTATTAACAAAAAACTGTTGAAGTAATTAACCGGTTGTTTGAGAATATTTGCGAGCAATTTCATGGAATTTATACATTCCACAAGCTTGTTAAAAAACATTATAAATAATCAGCAGCTATTTAACTAATCAAAAATTTCCCTGGCAATCCCAATAATTAGCTTACAACGTTGATTCACTGGTATCCCTAATATTATCTAGTCAAATCGCGCAATCAAATTGCAAAAACACAAATGAAAACAAGTCCGCAAATTGAGCTTATGACACTTGCAAAAAATTTTCAAATCTTTTTTGATATGAAAAAAAAACATTAGCAACTTGAATTTCTATTTCTTAATACTAAATCATCTGATCAACTAATATTTTTTATACAAATTATTTATAACATTTTTTTTTTTAACGGCACAGTCTTTTTATTTAATATCTGTAGTGTTTAATTACTATTTTTATTCTTTGTGCTCTATAGTTCTAAATGGTTGGCTTGTGTGTTGATTGACAATAAGTTACAATTTGAAAGTAAAAATCGCTATAATTTTTCTCTGTGCGCCACTCCCTCTCGTGCGGTTTCTATGGAACTGCAACTTTTCCGTGTTAGTCCAACTAATTGGCTGCGTTTTTGGTTAATTAGCGCACCAGCAGCAAAAACTAACCATGGCAACGCTGTCCGCTGAAAATGAAATCTCTTTGCTGTCGCACACGCGCTTTTATTGGCACTCAAATTGGCAGCTAAACTTTGGCAGCCAAAGCAGCGGCAACGGCAGTAACAACGATGATATCAACAGCAAAGCACACCAGCAACTTCGCAACCATCGACCGACGACAACTATTTTGTCTGCATTAAAACGTTGTAATTATTTTATGCCAGATAACAATTTGATATTGTCACTGCCGCAAAATGTTCAAGTTGCGAACTGATGGCCAAACTGCGGGATTCGGGGCGATGGGAATTGTGTGAGTTAGATGGATGGTGGCTAAATGCAAATCGGTTTCCGTTGTTGTTTTCTGTTGCCGTATGCTAATCAGGGTGAGCCGCGTTTCGTTGCAGCAAATTAATTGGCTTTTAAAACGTTGTTAGATCGCCATCTCGTTTGTAATGCAAAATAAACATTTTTACACAAAGTTAGGCATTAAAAACCGTATTTAATGTTGATATATGGGATTGATTTTGTATAATTATATTGTCGTAATTAATGAAATTTAATTAACTCAATGCATATATGTTTGAATTTATTTTAAAGAGCCTTAAGGAATATATTCGAATTGACTTAATTATAGCAACACAAAAATGTGTCATTAACTAAAATAAAGGCAAACAATTCATTTCAGTATTAATTGAATGTTAATTTCTAAGCTTAACTAATAGTCACTCAAAATTGATAGAGGCATTGAAACTCTAGGTGCTTTTGAAGTTATTAAAATTCCAAATGATTAAGCTCTGCAATGTGATTTACGCTTTAAATTAAGCTCCTCAAAAATATGAGACTTTATCGCCTAGTTGTGAATTACTCTCGATATTCATCCGAATCTGGTTCACTCTAAACTGAATTTTCCCCCCAGTCAACAGGAGGAGCAGTCTGAAAATGGGGAAAACACAGCAGCGACCACAAGTTCAGGGTACGGGGAAAATGGAGAGGAGGGGCCGCATGCTGCTGTCATCAGTTGACAGCCAGCAGCAGCGTCGCCTTCGTCGTTGTAGCTTTTAACAATTTGCAATAAATTAGCCGAGGCAACTGTGCAGAGTTTTCACTTGAAATGCAACTCGAATTGCATTTTCAAGGGGGCGAAACGAGGGGAAAGTACACCGAAAAAACTTTTTCTTTTTGCATTGTTATTTTAAGACTTAAACCTTTTAATAACGCCATAAGTTTTACTTGACCATCATAACCAGCTAATTATTTTATTTTACGACATTTCGAAAAGATTTTGATTAATTGGTATTATTTTATGGTGATATATATATTTTTCTCCCAACAGTCGACACTTTGTGCAATTTTTCTTTGGCGTTCCCCACTCTCTACCCTGCCGCAAACACTTTTTTCTACCACAACAGTTTCCAAACATGTCTTGCCAATTTCACACTCGAACCGCCTGCCTGCCCCGTCGTCAGCTGGCTTTAAGCGATTTCTACCTGGCCCGGTTCAGGTATTGGCCGCCGTGAGTCCGGAGGACTTTATGACGATCTCGTCGCAGCTGGAATTCGGCTCACACCTTGGGAATGCCCAAAAGCAAAAACGGTTGGCAAATAGACACAGAGGAATTCTGAGATTTAATTGTCCGGAATTTAGAACATTTTGGTCGTGATTCTTAAACAGTTGCAGGGCGTTGATGATGGCTTCGTCTCTATAGAATCTTCTGTTAACACTTCATGTTCATAATCCCATTTTCGCTGCATAACATGAAATTAATGATTTAAAAGAAATAGGCATATATATACTGGAATTACCGTTCGACAGCCACTGATGAGCAGAACCACTAAACAGCTTCCACCAAACGAATACGACGAAATCATTTGATAATATTAGGCTTGCTAATGATATGCCGCTTTTTATGTTTTTATAGCCAAACCGACGGTTTCAGTTAATATCAACTTGACACAATATATTTATCAGACCGTAAGAACATGATGTACCTACGTATTATTAAATATTTTAACAACGTTTAATCACCTAAATGTTTTAAATAGTTGAATTTATTAAAATGGGTTTCAAGTTAAATTATTATCCAATCCTATTAGGCTTTAATTTTTTAATTGCTTCTTGGCTCAATGTTTGACTTAAAAAAGGTTCTACTGTTACATAAAAAAAATATAATAATAAAAACAGAAATAAAACTAAAACCAAATAGTTTTCTTTCTCTGACAATTTTTTATGGGTGTAAATATTAACAATAAATGCATTTTGATTTCAATGTTTTAGCTCTTTTAAATTATATCTAAAATAGCAATTATTTTGTCAATTTCTTTTTCGAACTTTTTTCTGTCCGCCCGTCGTCAAATGATTAAAAGCGATTTATTCTTGGTGCCGCGCGTCTTTCGAAGTTTATGACGATCTCCTCGCAGCTCACACACCGGTATTGCACAAAATTAAAAAGAAATATCAAGTAGACAGCGAGGAATTTTGCGATTTAATTGTCCGGAATTTAGAACATTTTGGTCTTGACACGGAGAACGACGGACACATTCACTGCAACGGTTGGTAGGGAAGTTATAATGGCTTCGGCTCTATAGAATCCCTCTGACATAACTTCCGGCAATCCGTTGCCATTGCAAGAGCAGCGGGTGAAGTTAAAGGTCCCCTTGGGCCAGGGCGGTACATATCCGGAGTCGAATCTTGGCAGATCTGTGCAATTTCCAAGGTTGGGGATCAGCATGTCCTTGTAGAAGGTGTCGATGTAATCGGTAAATTTCTGCGGTTGAATGGACCAAGGAGTCATCTTGTAGTCTTCTTCTCTGCCAGAATAGCTACTTAAAATACGCATTTCGACCTGAAATAAATTTGTTATTTATCTAAGATATTAAATAGCTGATTCCAGACCACCACTCACCATTACGTTTTCGTCCATATCAATATTCCAGAAGAATGTGCCCGAAAAACCGAACTCTCCCCTGGAAATGCGCTCAATTCGCAAATCCATGTCCATGACACTTGAGTTTGTGGTAGAGCCTCCAATTGATATAGGAGTGGCTTCCCACGTTTTCTGTAAAATTCTTTAGTTTGCATTCAAGTTGTATAATAAAAAACGCATAAACAAAACTGTTTTGAATTAATTTAAGATCGCTTGTTTAAATGTTTAAAATAGAACAAAAATGGTTTGAGTCTTACCTTTGCTACACAATCATCGTATAGGTACACAAAAATGCACACAGAAACTAATAGATGCACGGTAAACGAGTACATTTTCGGTTCAATTGCTGGCCACTTCCATCTTGCTTTTATTTATATAGTCGAACGATCTGGTAGAATATTGCTAAAAAAAAAAAGCCTAGGTCACGGAAACTTTGTGTATGCATACATTAATTACATTTTTGTGAACAAATAATGCTTTTGGATTAAGCACGCCAAACTTATCTGAATTTCCCGATGGACTCAGAATCGAAAACTAATTTCAGATAAAAAAAATTACAAGTACATGGTTTTTAACGTTAGAATATGTTAACCAATTAATATATTGTTATTCTTGTTATTATATTTCCAGAATCATCTATCGACATTGTATATATCTAACTTACAACTGAAAGATTAGATTAGAAAACCATAGTTCATTGTATTGTTTTGTTTATCAATAACCAACAAGTTGGATACGAATTGCACATGTTTTATTTACAAAAAAAAAAGAGAAAAATGGTTTATTGAAAAATTACAACATTAAATCAACTTGTGCGTGACTTTAACGATCAGGGTGAAACCCCAGTCGACCTGTCCTGTGGTCTTATAAACTAATTTGAAATAACCCTCGGGTGCGATTTCCGGTAATCCTTCGCCATTCGCCACACACTTATCGAGCTTATAAACATTTCGGGGCCATGGGGGTACAAAATCGCCTTCAAATTGGACCATATTTGAGCAATGGCCCACATTCTTGATAAAAGCGTCCTTGTAAAAGCCATTTAGATACTCGAAAAAGGGTTGTTGGGGAATAGACCAGGGCATCATTTTATAGTCTTCCTCATCTCCAGACGAGCAGTGAAATACGTCAGCTTCCACCTGTCCGGTGAAAGAGTATTATTTATAAAGCGTTACATGCAACTAAGGAATTAAATCCAAGTATCTACCATAGTGTCCATATCCGCATCATAGTTCCAGTCTAGCGTCATGGAAAACGCAAACTCACTGCGTCCCAGACGATCAACCTTTGTCGTAATCTTCATAAGCTTCTCATCGGAGGTATAGGATGTCAAGGATAAGGGCTCGTATTCCCAGTTGCGCTGTAGAATAATAAAAAAAAATAAAATTATAAATCCTGGAGGTATACGTTTATTAGGGTTTCCCAACATACTTCTGCAACGCAACTGTGGATCAGGAGCGCAGCGAAAAAAAATTCCATTGAGCTTCGCGAAATCATTTAGCCAAAATTAAACTTAATTCGATCGACACTCGGTTGATATTTATATAGTAAACGAGGGCTAGTTGCATGGCATTATTACTTTTAATACTTGTTAAACTTATCTTAGTCAGTTTTACATTTTTGGTGAACATGTTAAACAAGATTACATGCCAAAAACAAGTAAAAATTGTTGAGAATATACCTAGTTTGAATTTTATCAATGATAATATGTCATTTGGCTAATTGTTCTTAAGACAAGAGTCGTTGAGATTAAAAAAGTAATAAAAAGATTAAAGAAAAAAAGAAAAATGATCTGAAATAATAATAACTTCATGGAAACCGATTGCTCATAATAATTTTAAGTGCAATTGTGTTTCGCAATCGGCGCTTTTTAATCATACAATTTTAAATTGGTTTCCTATAGGATATACATTCTAAACTTAAATTTTTGGTGAATATGATATTTTGTTTTTTTAAACAACTAAAAAATGTATTTTACTGTAAAAGCTTTAAAGTCATCTAATTGTTTGGTCTTCACGCCACTTTTTACAATAATAGAAATTGACTTTTATTGAAGAAGGTTTATGCACCTAAAACAAAAATTCAATAAGGTGCTTTAGGCAATAAAGTTATAGTTTAGATTTTTTGCAATGGTTCAAAACATTTTGTTTGTCAGTTTTATAATCGCTTCAAGGCTCCATGTTGGCTGGTCGGGTCCAGTGCAATTAAATATGATCTTGTAGAATCCAGGCGGTGCAATTTCCGGTAGCCCGTCGCCTTCGAACACGCATTTGTCGGCAGTATATGTCTGCTTTGGTATTGGCGGTTCGAACTTGCCCTCGAACTGCGGAAGGTTGGAGCAGGGGGCAAAGTTCTTAACTATCACATCCTTGTAGTAGTTGTCAAGGTATTCGTACAAGGGTTGATTGGGAATTTTCCAAGGGAGCAGCTTATAATCCCTTTCATCTCCCGAAGTGCTTCGGTAGACATCGGCCGAAACCTGCAGAAGATGGTTTTATTTGCATAGAATATACCTTATAGGAATTAGAACCCACCATGGTTTCCTCAGACGTATCATAGTTCCACAAAACATCGGCTGATATTCCTAGTTCTCCGCGCCCCATGCGAATGATCTTGGGTTCAAACTTTACTAGACTTTCATCAGAGCTTAATGCGGTGACTGATATGGGTTCGTAGTCCCATTTCCGCTGCGTAATAATAATAATATTATTATTCGGATAACGGGGGATATAATATCTGGAACTACCGCAGCTCCACAGTCATGAATCAGCAGGACTCCCAACCAAATTGCGACCAACAAACAAGGGAAAAACATTTGGCTTTAACTGGGTACTGGCAGGTTTTGGATTGTATTTATATAGTGAATGAAATTGCTATATTGCACGACATTATTAACAAACTATTTAAGTGAAAATAACATTAAATTGTATAAATATCTCAAGGTCGATCGTGTTAGTAACTTGCGAACATTTTAAATATAAATCAAGAACGGAAGCAAACTTCGGCAAGCCGAAGTTCATATACCCTTGCACCTATTGCAAAAATGAAATATTCTTAAACACATTTAAATTTTAAAACATTGAAGCTTTGATGATTTTCAGCTCAATTATTCGATCGTTCCTATGCCAGCTAAATGATATCATTTTCCAATTTGAATAAATTAAAACGTAATTCTAAACTATTACATTTTTAATAGGTCAAAAAGAATATTTTGAAAAAATTAAAGGGAAGTTAAATTTGTTTTTTTTTATTGTTTTGATAATTTCTATGGTAGCTATATGACATTTAAACCGTAATTCTGAAATATTTAACCATTATTTTGAAGAAAAAAATTACAAAATAGCAAAGTTATCAGTTTATTTCATTTATTTTTTCCGATAATAATTTTTATAAAATCAATGTATGTATTTATTTATTTTTTCACCAATTTTGTAATAAAACTTTGAAATTTAGTACTGTTCTCCTCGACTAACACAACGTCTAGAACAGTTTATTTGTCAACTTAAAGACCGCCGTAAAACCCCAGGTGGGTTGGTCGGGTCCAAATTTGCTGAAAACTATCTTGTAGTATCCGGGCGGAGCGATTTCCGGCAGTCCATCGCCATCGAACTTACATTTTTCCATCTTATAAGTGTTTTGTGGCCAAGGAGGTTGAAATTTGCCCTCAAATTGTGGAAGATTGGAGCAGTGACCTATGTTTTTAATAATCATATCCTTGTAATAGGTGTTGAGGTATTCATAGAAGGTCTGCTTGGGAATTGACCAAGGTAGCAGCTTGTAATCACTCTCATCTCCAGAATTACTGCGATAAGCAAATGCTTCCACCTAGGAAACGTTTTAAGAACATAAATTAGCATAAATGATTCTTATAAAGAACCCACCATAGTTTTCTCATTTGTTTCATATTTCCACTCGATGACGGCCGTTAATCCGTATTCTCCACGCCCCAGTCGATCAATTTTGGCATCGAACTTTAACTTGCTGTCATCCGAAGAGGTGGTGATAAATGAAAGCGGTTCGTAGTCCCATTTTCGCTTAAGGAAAAAGCAATTAGTATGGAACAACCATTTTTGTTTTTACCAAACTTACAGCTGCCTCAGCCAAATGGATAGACAAAACTAGAATTCCAATCCTTGTCCAGGTTAAATGCAGCTCATAGCGAACCATTTTGCTCGAATTGAATTTGAAACATTGTGCCCAATGCAGGGTGCCTTATATAGTTAGACTGTATAATTTGAGCTTTTTATCTCACGGACTTATCTTGCCGTAAAATTATTGGCTAAGCAATTAAAATGTTTTCGATGAATGTTTGGAATTAATATATTCGATTAATTTTTCAGATTAATGTTTTAGAATTTTAAAAATTCCGCAAACGAACCCAAATCAATCTGTTGTCAAACATTCACTTTGATAAATCCCAACAGCCCCGTGTTTGTAATTGACAAATAAAACATAGATTTTTCATTTTTTTAATGCAGTTTTTATTGCTTATTAAATCAAACTAACTTTCTACATGCTGGATTAAACATTTGATATGATATATTTGTGTTACATTCATGTCGTATGTGGAAATCACATAATTTTAGTTGAGATTTTCACAATGACAATGAACCCCCAATCCACGGGATTCATGAAGGTGAAGTTGACCTTGTAGAAGCCTTCGGGTACTACCTCCGGAAATCCATCGCTGTTGGCCACGCACTTGTCCAATACGTACTCCTGCTGGGGCCAAGGGGGCTCGAAATCGCCCTCAAACTGGATGAGATTAGAGCAACCCCCTAGGTTGGAAATTACCACGTCCTTGTAGTGACTGTTCATGAACTGTAGGAAAGGTTGCTTTGGGATGCTGAAGGGTATCAGTTTGTAGTCGTTTTCGTTTCCGGAGCTGCTTCGATAACCCAAAGCCTCAACCTGAAAGTTATTGAGATCAAATGGCTAGACTTATAAGGAAGAACAAAACAAATAACTTAAATATTCAGTAAAATATTTGTACATATGGTTCAATCATTTTTTTATAAGTTTTATAAGTTAAAGGTATACTAGTTTATCTTATATTAGAGTAGTACTCACCAAAGTTGTATCGCCGGGTTCGTACTTGAAGTCAATATTGGCCGAAATGGCAAATTCTCCCCTACCGACTCGATCCACCTTCGCGGCTATCTTCAGCATGCTTTCATCCGTAGTGTAGGTTTCAATCGATAGCGGCTCATAGTCCCACTTTCTCTATTGATTCGAATGATAACATTTTAATCTTGTCAGGTCTGAACAACATTCTTACTTTTCCACTGCAGTTATCCACTAACAAAACGATTAACCAAAGTCCTCCTATAATCAGCAGCAACGAACGTGGCAACATCTTGGTTAACATTTGATTCGATTGAGTTACTTTCTGGCTTATATAGCGAAAGTATCATTTTATTTCTAAACCATATATGTTTTTATCTTGTTTGTTCTCTAAATCAGAATGTAATTATCCAATCGGCGATAGCAATTAACACGCAATACTTGTGTCATAGTTTTTATTCTGTCATATAAACTACATTAATGATGTAGACTCTTGAATGGTACTTAAATATACATATATCTTATTAAATATAGGTAATTACAGGCTATTAAATGCAATTATTCTTAATATTATTCATCTCGCGTATTTGCCAAAACATAAGATCGTGTGAATATCGATTTACATAAAAAGACATAATCATAAAAACCATATATAACAAATTTGAAAGCCCAAGAGATCAAGGCATTTTATAAGTTATAAGCAAATAATGGTATTTTTATAATTTCAAAAAGTTCAGATGAAAAAGACCATGCGTAAGTCATTTTCAATGTACCAAATTCTCACCCAAGGGATTACAATCAAAACTGAAACCTCTACGGATCGATATTGCTTGTTTCCCTTGACAACAATTGAGGAAATATAAACAACAAAATGTGAGGCTGCGCCACCCCTTCATCTTGGGTGTAACTCATTAGATTCGAGGCTCACAAAGAAGAACACTCGTAATTGAGGGCAGCAAATTGCTGGTGACACGAACAAAAGATCTGTTGGGGGAATAAAGTCATAAATTCCGAAGCCCTATCAACGTACAGAAAAGGGGCGCAAGCAAACACACACACACACACACACACACACACACAGTTTCCTTCGAGTGATCAATATATATTGGGAAAAGCAATTGAATGTGTCTAGTAACCCGGGATCGAGATCTGGTCCCTCCTCTTTCGTCTTTGAGTAGTTCCGTTCCCATCCAAGACTCGTTTTCAGACCGTTGCCTAAGTGGCATGATCGCCACTTGAGTTGGTCAGCACTTGAGAGCATCTCGTACTGCGGTGGTGTGGCATGCCACAAGGAAAATAAAAAAAAAAAAAAAAAAAAACGAAACGAAACGAAAAGGGATCCGAACCCACTGCACTTAATTTAATTGAACGCCAAGCCGCCGCCGTCGCCGCGAGCGTGTTGAGCCTAAACAGTCGCCGCCAACGCAATCGCATGAGTTGTGCTTGGGGAAAATCAAATTATCGCGATTCCAGCCGAATCAAAACAGAAACACAAGCGGTCGAAGAATTATTAGCGAACCGCAATTTTCGTCTGTTTTGTTTTTTATATTGTGCTTAAACAACGGAGAACAATGTGCATAAAGTTAGCAGTACAACTTTCAAAATCTAAACTTTTTTTTTTACCATAATTTGCCGTTAATTATCCGTAAATTATTCGTGAAAGAAAAAAATTTGCCGCTCAATTTTTTTAAAAGTTATCCGATGTTCTGCTAACTTGATATCAAGTTAGCAGTACACAAAATTAAACTTTAACTTTTCGAAAAATTTCTTTTGCAGGAATTTGCCGTTAATTATCCGTAAATTATTCGTGAAAGAATAAAATTTGCCGCTCGTGTTTTAATATTTTTTTTTTAAAACAAACCCTGTGTTCTGCTAACTTGATATCAAGTTAACAGTACACATAACTAAATTTTAACTTTTCGAAAAATTTCTTTTGCAGGAATTTGCCGTTAATTATCCGTAAATTATTCGTGAAAAAATAAAATTTGCCGCTCGTGTTTTAATATTTTTTTTTTAAAACAAACCCTGTGTTCTGCTAACTTGATATCAAGTTAACAGTACACATAACTAAATTTTAACTTTTCGAAAAATTTCTTTTGCAGGAATTTGCCGTTAATTATCCGTAAATTATTCGTGAAAGAATAAAATTTGCTGCTCGTGTTTTAATATTTTTTTTTAAAACAAACCCTGTGTTCTGCTAACTTGATATCAAGTTAACAGTACACATAACTAAATTTTAACTTTTCGAAAAATTTCTTTTGCAGGAATTTGCCGTTAATTATCCGTAAATTATTCGTGAAAGAATAAAATTTGCCGCTCGTGTTTTAATATTTTTTTTTAAAACAAACCCTGTGTTCTGCTAACTTGATATCAAGTTAACAGTACACATAACTAAATTTTAACTTTTCGAAAAATTTCTTTTGCAGGAATTTGCCGTCAATTATCCGTAAATTATTCGTGAAAAAATAAAATTTGCCGCTCGTGTTTTAATATTTTTTAAAGCAATAACAAACAAAATTTAACACATGCATACAAATACATATAAAACACGCGGCCGCCGACATGGCTCTGCCAACGTCGTCGCCCAAGGCGCAGAATTTTAAACATTGTTTAGAGTGGGGGAACGCAGTTTTTTTTACATATATGGACATTAGTAAACTAACTATTTAATTAATCAATTAATTAAAAACCATCAATATTAAAATATGCTCCCATCCACTGTAGACAATGTTTTTCTAAGCTGCAGATTTCGCGGGAGTTTTGCGTTTTGACGTCGACGTGAGCAGAGCTCTGTCGGCGTCGACGTTTTAAATGAGCGGTCAAACACACACTCATTGACCTGTTCGCACGTCTTTGTGTTAGTAATTTGCACGGCGAAACTTGTCAATATGTGTGTGTATTATCTTTCCGACTGAGCAGCTGCAGCGCAGCGGCAGAGGTCGACACGTACATTGTTAACCCGCAGCATGTTATTGAGTGTGTGGCGACCACTGTGTCGTGTTCTGCCGCCGCGCTGATTTAAAACGACGACGCCGACAGAGCTCTGCTCACGTCGACGTCAAAACGCAAAACTCCCGCGAAATCTGCAGCTTAGAAAACATTGTCTACAGTGGATGGGAGCATATTTTAATATTGATGGTTTTTAATTAATTGATTAATTAAATAGTTAGTTTACTAATGTCCATATATGTAAAAAAACTGCGTTCCCCCACTCTAAACAATGTTTAAAATTCTGCGCCTTGGGCGACGACGTTGGCAGAGCCATGTCGGCGGCCGCGTGTTTTATATGTATTTGTATGCATGTGTTAAATTTTGTTTGTTATTGCTTTAAAAATATTAAAACACGAGCGGCAAATTTTATTTTTCACGAATAATTTACGGATAATTGACGGCAAATTCCTGCAAAAGAAATTTTTCGAAAAGTTAAAATTTAGTTATGTGTACTGTTAACTTGATATCAAGTTAGCAGAACACAGGGTTTGTTTTAAAAAAAATATTAAAACACGAGCGGCAAATTTTATTCTTTCACGAATAATTTACGGATAATTAACGGCAAATTCCTGCAAAAGAAATTTTTCGAAAAGTTAAAATTTAGTTATGTGTACTGTTAACTTGATATCAAGTTAGCAGAACACAGGGTTTGTTTTAAAAAAAAATATTAAAACACGAGCGGCAAATTTTATTCTTTCACGAATAATTTACGGATAATTAACGGCAAATTCCTGCAAAAGAAATTTTTCGAAAAGTTAAAATTTAGTTATGTGTACTGTTAACTTGATATCAAGTTAGCAGAACACAGGGTTTGTTTTAAAAAAAAAATATTAAAACACGAGCGGCAAATTTTATTCTTTCACGAATAATTTACGGATAATTAACGGCAAATTCCTGCAAAAGAAATTTTTCGAAAAGTTAAAATTTAGTTATGTGTACTGTTAACTTGATATCAAGTTAGCAGAACACAGGGTTTGTTTTAAAAAAAATATTAAAACACGAGCAGCAAATTTTATTCTTTCACGAATAATTTACGGATAATTAACGGCAAATTCCTGCAAAAGAAATTTTTCGAAAAGTTAAAATTTAGTTATGTGTACTGTTAACTTGATATCAAGTTAGCAGAACACAGGGTTTGTTTTAAAAAAAATATTAAAACACGAGCGGCAAATTTTATTTTTTCACGAATAATTTACGGATAATTAACGGCAAATTCCTGCAAAAGAAATTTTTCGAAAAGTTAAAATTTAGTTATGTGTACTGTTAACTTGATATCAAGTTAGCAGAACACAGGGTTTGTTTTAAAAAAAAATATTAAAACACGAGCGGCAAATTTTATTCTTTCACGAATAATTTACGGATAATTAACGGCAAATTCCTGCAAAAGAAATTTTTCGAAAAGTTAAAGTTTAATTTTGTGTACTGCTAACTTGATATCAAGTTAGCAGAACATCGGATAACTTTTAAAAAAATTGAGCGGCAAATTTTTTTCTTTCACGAATAATTTACGGATAATTAACGGCAAATTATGGTAAAAAAAAAAGTTTAGATTTTGAAAGTTGTACTGCTAACTTTATGCACATCGGAGAACAATATAATAGCAACTTTTTTTTTGTTTACATATTCATAAAAAAAAAACTTAAGTTCGATTTTATTGTTTACTGCCTTATAAACTATATAACGATAGTAATGAAATTATACCATTTTATTACTTATGTAGTATCTAGTAATAATAGTTACACTATCTGTAGTAGGCTAAAGGAAAAACTAATTAATTAATTAATAAATGGTTACACAAATTGTATATGTATTTATTAGTTCTGTTCCAAAAGAAGTTAAAGTTCTAATATTTTTTTACCAGATATTATGAAATTTAGCTTTAACAAAAACCTTGATTGCTTTACTTCTATTTGTACAAAATATTTATAGCATTCTCATATAATTTGAAATTGCTTTTGAAACCAATAAAAATTTCCAGCTATTGTTTTTTTCCCACCACAAAAAAAATTTCCTGTTCTTAAATGAATTTTGTGAAGCAAACATTTGGAAATGGTTCTATAACTTGAAAGTAGCAAAAACTATTCTTTTGAGCATAATAGTACCTGCGTGTGTGTCTGATGCGGACGCTCGTCTCTGGTTGTGCTTCATGGCTGCTGTGGTTACGATCCATTCTGGATCAAAAACGCTAATAAAAGCGCACTGGCAACTCCCCAGAGGCGTTCATTTAGCAACCGCAGAGGATCAATCTTGTACAACAACCATTTTGTGAAACAACAAAAAGAGCCGAGATGATGACGATGACGATGATGACGACGGCAGCGGCGGCGGCGATGAAGCCAAACGATCTACAACGATCTGAACGCCGGCCGATGTTGCCAACCATGTTGCCCGTAAATCTTTAGCTCTACAGCGCCTTGTTCTTCATCGGTTTCTTCGGCTACTTCATCATCTTGGCGATTTTATGTTCCCCCGCTGATTTTGAGTCGGCCAGCGTTGACATGCTATAGCTATTTTTCATTCAATCTGTCCTTTAGTTGTATCAAGGTATAACCTTTATACTGTTTTCCTTTATTTTTTTTACAAACATTTGGGAAGAGAGTCGTCTAATCTTCTATTATATCATTGTTTGATGAATCTACATATTTGCATTACTTTTTTCTGTGTTGTTGTTTAATTTAAACTAGCCATTGTGGTCAGCATTCAGTACCACCACCACTGACCGCTGTTTTCTGGTTGCTATTGGGTTGGGTTTGGATACTGCCTGATGTTTAGTACGTGCGGACAGGGACTTTGGCCATAACAAGAAGACGCTATCGGTTCCCCTCTGCCCATCTGCCACTCCTCTCCCTATCTTTTGCCTTTCCTGTGCATCGGAGCTTGGCCGCAATCCCAATTTAATACACGACTTGAACGATGACCGGCGCTGTCGCGTTGTGCCTTTTTACCCAACCAGTTTTTCTACCTGGCCAACTTGTGCTGCTGCCTGCCTGCCTGCCTACCTTTTATGTGCCCTGCTCCCCGGTCGGTCGGTGCCTTCTGCCAAACTTGGGACCTCGGTCGAATTCAGTGGAATGTCGATCGCACGAAGGAGTGAAGTAGCGGGGGCTATTAGTAATTTATTGATTTGTCTAAATTATGGTGTGTTTCAATCTTCGTGTTTGTTGGCGGCGTCTGTGAAAAGCATATCGCAATGGATGTGAGTTGTTTTATTTCAATTTTTTTTTTCTTTCGGGGCTTAACCCCTTGTTGGCGCGTTAATGCCACATGCCACACTCGCATTGCCACCCACATGGTCAAGAGAGTGTGGAGTGCGTAATAGCGGATTAAATGGTGTCCGTGTGAAGGGGCCCAGCGGCGAACACGAGATGATTGCCATGAGAACTGAAATGCTCTTGTCTGGGCTTAAAAACGCGCATTTGGATGAGATTAAATGCGGCAGTAAAATACGCAATGTGTGTGGGCAGCTTTTATTGTCGAACCAAGCACAGTCAACAACTCAATTAATTAAGTCTCAGTATTCAGTATTCAGTATGAAAATGCGAACACAACTCGGGTGACACAAACAAACAAACAAGTTGACAAAAAAACAAAAATAACAAAAAATCCATCGTTGGCCCACACAAAAAAAGCGTGTTTTGCTGTCTGTGCCACTTAATTATCATAAAATGTTAAGCACATGCAAATTTAATTGTTGTTGCTGCTTTAAAATCGTATAAAGCAGCACAAAAAAAGTGAATGAATCAACAGAGATTCATGCAAACCAATCAATCAAATTAATTGACAAAGGAGGGCACAAAACTGTCGACTAAAGGAGAAAAGTAGTATTATAAAATTCGCGATTTCCCTTTTAAAGCAAATTAGTAATGCTTATATCGCTCATTATATATGGTATAAATATCCAAGGGAAAATTTACCAAAATTATTAAATACAATTTGACTTTGGTTATTTGTTGTCATTATAAAAATTACAAATGATAACGTAATTTATGGAAAATGATATCATTTGTTTTGAGTGTTTCTCAGTTATAGTTTCCATTAGCATATTTGGCTTACAAAATCATTAAGTCTAAGCCTAATAGCCGACATTACGCTTGACATTTGTTCTGGCATAAAAGTTCATTTGCATTGAAATTAAAAAAAAAAAAAAAGTGCTAAGTAATGAGCTGCCAACGATGACGTCAGCGTTCTCAGGCTGTACAAAGACGTGTACAAACTATCGTAGAATTCCCAGAGACATCGTCGTCGGTTATCTAATCGCAAATCGGAACGGCAACTGCTACTGTGCTCGCACATGTTTAAATCATATACTCCATATTCGGCGGCACTTGAGATCGGTGGTAGTAGAAGTATAACTCGTACCAGTTATTCGTTATCAGTATCAGTAAATTGTGCAAAAGTGCTTTAATTACCAGGTCGTTAAGAGGTCTGCCTCCTTGCCGCCTCGCCTCCCCTTAATCATATATGTACCCTTTACCGTCTCAATATATATATGTATTATGATCCAACCACACACTGTGCATGTAAATCACAGTCGCCCATGCTTTATAGTTAACCTCAAACACGTTGATTGGCGATCGGCGATAAGAGGGGCAATTGAATTGAGCACTTGAAAGTGCGACAAGGCTCTAATCTCGCCGCGCACTCGATCGAGTGGGGCAGTACTTTGCAGTACTTTTCATTATAGCGTTAACCGTATTTCTGGCAGATTGCATATTCTATTCTAATCGAGGGCATCTTTCTTTGCTCTATTTGCAGTTTTGAAAATGAAACATTTGGCCCGAGGGCCGAGGCCCTGTGTCTCCCTGTCTTGTTGCCTGGATAACAAGTCGACAAGTCGTCACACAAGGCAGCGCCCCAGTTCATCGCCACCCACCAGCAGGGTCATCCGCATCCGCGCCAGCAACCGCAGCACCAGTCCAAGTCACTTGAGCAACAACTCCTCCTCCGCCGGCTGCACGTTCCTAGGCACTACTGGTAGTACTTTGGGCCGCCCGCGCAGTGCGGCCGCCCGATCGTTTGCGTCTGCATGGAGTCAATGAGACGTAACGAGGCGAACACTAGCCACCACCCGAATAAGGTAAGCACTAAGCACATTGTCGCACCTCGCTCTTAACCCCTTTTCCCCCAAAAAGAATCCACACTACTTTCCATCAGTGCTGACAGGTTGGCTATGGTCATTCCCAGTTTGGAATACATTTTAATCAGAAATGCCCGTCAAGTTATTATTTCTAGATATAAATTGGATCTACAGAAAGCACTCTTATAAATAAATTTAAAATATATTCAAGTAAATACAATTGAAAATATTACTTAACTTATAACGACGTTATGATGTTATTCTTTTGGATACAATGCCCATTTTTTAAAATACAACGTAGTCAATTTCAAGTCACCTAAATAGGTTTGAAATTTAAAAAAATAATCATTAAAAGACTTATAAGAACTCAGTTTTAATTAAATTAAAATGTTTTTAATGTGTTTTGTTTTTTAATAGTCTATTATAATCGAATAGTCTAATAAAGATTACTTTTTTTTGACTTTGTAATAAAGAACCATCACGTAGTAAAAATTAAATATGTACTTGCGCATACGTTATTCAAAATTTGAAGAGCCTTTATTTTGGATTAGGATTACTGAGAGATTTTGTTATATTTCTATTGAAAGCAATAAAAAGTAGTAGCTTTAAATGTTAATTTATGAGATATTTTTAGCTTCCAACTGGGGTTTAGCTATATGGCTTATAAACAAATTTTTAATAGTTGGCAACACTCTCTATCCCCAGCCATTCAACTCTACCTATACCTTACTTTACTTTTAGTGGGCGATAAGAGCGTAATTATTTTATTGTCATCATTTGGGCCCCACTCGAGTGTAGTTTTTTTCGAGCTGCTTTCTGAAGTGGCCACTACACTTTTGCAGTGTGCGATAAGCGAAGAAAGCGATAACAAAGTGTCCAGAAAACTACACTTTTTACTCTTTTTGTTATTGGTTTATTGGGTAGCTTCCGATTTATTAGTTAAAAGGGCTAAAAGAAAACACAATCAAGATCAACAAACAATTATTGTTGTCGGTTATTCGATTCTGAAAGGCCTTTTCCAACACTAAAATCGTTTTGTTTATTTGCCTTCGTCTCTCCACCACCGCTCTTCTGCTCTCACACTGTTCTGTTTCTTCCTCTCTTCTCCCATGTTTTTGGTGGTTGCTCTCCAGCTCTACTTCTTTTTTTTTTTTTTTGGTTTTCCGTTCTCATCCGCCAAACGAAAAAGGACGCCGCGGAGAAGGCTCGCGCAAAATATTTATTTATTGTTTTCGTTTTTGATTTCTGTAAAATAGAACACTAAAAATACTAGAAAAAAAAACCTATAATCTAATTATGATTGTGGAATGGAAAAGAAGTTGGCAAAGGTAAAGCAAAAGGGGCAGAAGAAATTATAAATTCTGTTTCAGCTATTTTTTGTTGAGTTGTCTTGCCCTACTCCTCACACATCAAAACGCGCACGCACTCACACCCATACAACTGCAACTTACTAATGTTGGATTTCTTCTTTTTTCTGCATTTGCAGGTGGCCCTGAATAGCAGCAACGTAGCAACGGAAAGCAATATTAAGAATAATAAGTTGTTAGCTAATTTAAGTGCGGCAGGAGCAGCTACAGCTACAACGGCAACAACAACAACAGGAACGGCAGCAGCAACAACAACGACGGCGAATCAAGCGCTGAATTTCAATAACAAAACGAAGGCAACAACAACAACTGCGGCAGCGAATAATCAGAAGAGCAACCACAATAACAACAACAACAACAACTCTAGTGCGATCAAGAAGCACACAAATACAAGTAAGTAACAGCAAATCTCTCGTTGGTACTCTTTTTTTTTTATCGACATTGGCGCAGTCAGGATTATTTTAAGGGGAAACCCTTAATCGTGATGTATAAACTAAATCGTATAGACAAAGTATAATATTTAAGTTTACTATTTAAAAAAACCTTTTAAATAGCGATAAAAGATTTTTGTTAAAACATTCGATAACGACATTTAGACAGGTTATTAATAAAAGTTTTTGTGCAGATTACAAATTAAATTTACCAACAAAAGGACTCATAAAAGTGTTTTGTAATTTGTGAGTTTAAAAATCCACTTAAAGCTTATCATTAGATAAGAAGCATAGGTTACACAAACGGTAAAGGGGCAACCCCCCCCTGCTTGAGCCACTGGTCCCCTTACATTGACGCGACAACTCTCACTTAAATTTCTCTCTTCTGTTTGTTCCTCCGTAGAACTAGCTGGTAAGAGCCCCGCTTGCAACTCTTCCTCCTCGTCGCTCTCCTCGTCGAGCAGCTCCAACTCGAGCGAGTCGAAGGACACGAACTTCGAGTACGAGGACGAGTGGAACATTGGCGGCATACCAGAGCTGCTGGACGACTTGGACGCGGACATCGAGAAGTCGGCGGCGCATTCTTCGGGTGGTGGCAACCAGGCTACCGCGCTAAATGCCAAGCAGGCATCCAGCTCCTCCACATCCTCCTCATCATCCTCCAAGGGCGGCGCTTCATCCTCGTCATCCTCAGCAGCAGCGGCGGGATCAGGATCATCAGGATCATCAGGATCATCGTCGCACAAATCGCACAAGACGACATTGCACAGCAATTTGTCAGCCACTTCGCCAACCACAATTAAGTTCACACGCCAGCCGGTGGCCAGTGGCGGAGCTAACTCCACCACCTCATCCTCGTCAGCAACTGCGACGCCCAGTGGCGGCAGTGCGAACGTGGTGGCCAAGGGATCATCCTCTTCATCGTCCTCCACATCCTCCTCTTCCTCGGGAAAGCATCACCATCATCACCACCACCACTCGAACTCGAGCAGCGGCGGTAGTGGCAGCAGCAGTTCCAAGGGCTACAAGTCCGCTTTGGTGGCTCAACTGAACAGTCCGAGTCCACTGAACAGCAGCTCCAAATCCCTGAGTGGATCGGGGAGTGGAAGCGGTAACGCAAACGGATCAGCGGGAGCTGGAGCCGGCAGCACATTGTCATCGTCGACATTTGCCGGTTTCTCCAAGGGCGGCAGCTTAGTGTCATCGTCCTCCTCCTCCTCCTCCTCCTCATCATCCTCTTCGTCATCTTCATCCTCGTCGGCGGCGGCAGCAGGAGTAGCCACAGCGGCTGGCAACGGACAGCAGGGCTCCAAATTCTCCGCTGGCGGCATGTCCTCGCAAACGGGCAGCGGCAGCGGCGGCAACAACAATAGCAACAGCAACAACAACAGCAGCAGCGGGACCGGAAGCGGAGGCAGCGGCTCGGGCAGCAGCAGCGGCGGCGGCACAGGGAACAGCGGAAGCGGTAGCGGGAGCAACAACAACAACACAAGCGCCGGTGGGCCGCCGAGTTCGCAAGGCGGCAGCAACAGCGGAAGCGGTAGCGGTAGCGGTAACAGCTCCTCCAGTGGCAAATCGAGCGCAAAAATGTCCATAGATCACCAGGCGACGCTCGACAAAGGACTCAAAATGAAGATCAAGCGCACCAAGCCGGGCACAAAAAGCTCGGAGGCCAAACACGAGATTGTGAAGGCCACCGACCAGCAGCAGAACGGCGCCCTGGGCGCCGGTTCAAATAGCTCGGCGGCCAACGAGGATGGGAGTTCCGGCTCCGGTTCTAGTTCCACCAACGCTTCTTCGCTGGGAGGCAACAATTCGTCGAGCAGCGCAAGCAGCGGCAGCTCCTCCAGCAGCGGCAGTTCGTCGGGCAGCAGCAAGAAGCACCTGAACAACGCCAGTGCCGGGAGTGGCTCCTCCTCGTCCGGTGGCGGGGGCCAAAACAATGCCGGTGGCCATGCCAGCGGAGGGGGATCCTCCGGCGGCAGTCAATCCACGCCGCAAGGCACAAAGCGCGGCAGTTCGGGTCATCGACGCGAGAAGACCAAGGACAAGAACGCACATTCCAATCGCATGTCCGTGGACAAGTCAGCGGCGGCTGCCTCGGCGGCCGGTGAAAAGGATACGCCGGAGAAGAGTTCTGGAGCGGGAGCGGGAGCAGGTGGTTCGCCGTGCTCGTGCAATGGCGAAGTGGGTGCTCCCTGCTCCCATCACGCCTGCATCCGACGAGCCGCCCACATGTCCAACTCCGGCGGCAGCTCGAATTCGAGTGGCAGCACTGGACAAGCCGGTGGATCCGCCTCCATGTCGGCAGTGCCACCAGGTGTGTTCACTCCCTCGGCGGGCTCACCTTCGGGCGGTTCGCCATCGACAGTGGTGCCTGCGGCTGCCTCCCTACTGGCGGCCACCGGAGCAACCTCCTCCTCCGCCACCCAACTGGCCAGCAGTAGTGCCGGCGGTGTGGGCGGTTCGGGAGGCGGTGCCAATGCACCGGGACCGCCGGGAAAGGACTCCGTTGGCAGCATTAAAATCTCCTCGCACATTGCCGCCCAACTGGCTGCGGCCGCCGCCTCCAACAGTTACAGCGGGAGTGGCGCCAACTCGAATCAGGGCCAGAACAGCACTTCCGGCGGCGGCGTCGGCAGCACGGATAGCAAGACGGCGCAGGCCAAGCTTATGGCACCCGGCATGATCTCAGCCACCATGCACCACACGATCTCGGTGCCGGCGGGCAGCGCAGGAACCGGAGATGAGGACACAAAATCGCCGCCCGCCAAGAGGGCCAAGCATGAGGCTGGCGCTGGCGGCGGAGCAGGCGGCGGCGGCAAGGAGATGGTGGACATCTGCATCGGCACCTCGGTGGGCACCATCACCGAACCGGACTGCCTGGGTCCGTGCGAACCGGGCACCTCCGTCACCCTCGAGGGGATCGTGTGGCACGAGACCGAGGGCGGCGTTCTAGTGGTCAACGTCACGTGGCGGGGCAAGACCTACGTGGGCACCCTGCTCGACTGCACCCGACACGATTGGGCTCCTCCAAGGTGAGTTGGTGGGGCTTGAGATGGGATTGAGATGGTCTCACGGTGGTCACGATTACGGCTTTTCAAACGCTTTCCAAAACTATTGTAGAGACTAGATCAATTAAATAAAGATATGCCTTTCAATATTATGTTGCAAGTTTATTTTTCTATATCTACCCATTTCCCTTTTTTACCCATTTTTTTGGGCATCAGTTTGAAAAGTATTGCTTATGGTTTAAATTGCCATCAGTAAGTGGTGACTAACTACGTATTCTATGCACTGTACTCATTTGCAAATAATCCAAACAATACTTGAGTGCATATAAACATTTTCTGTTTGTTTACGAAAAGGATTATTTATCAGTAGTAAATAGCTTAATTTGCCAATCATGTTTTCCACTTAATGTGCTTTGTTTTGACTAAAGAAACTCGATATTTGTGGGCATTGCAAACAGTTTTAGCTTTGAAAATGTGCTGATTACTGATTAATTTTCATTGCCTTCCAGATTCTGTGATTCACCAACTGAAGAATTAGATTCTCGAACTCCAAAGGGACGCGGCAAGCGCGGACGCAGTGCAGGTCTAACCCCCGACCTGAGTAACTTCACCGAGACCAGAAGTTCGGTAAGTAGACAAGTTGTTGGCCTGGCTGGTTGAATAAAATTGTTAACTTAATTTATATCCCTCTTTTCACCGACAGATTTACTTCTCACATGCCCAGGTGCACTCAAAGCTGCGCAATGGTGCCACCAAGGGACGCGGGGCGACGCGCAGTGCCTCTGGCAATGCGGCGGCGAACAGCAACAGCAACAGTTCGTCGGGCAATGGAGGCGGTGCCACGCCCAGCACATCACCGACAGCGTTTTTGCCGCCGCGTCCGGAGAAGCGCAAGTCAAAGGATGAGGCGCCTTCACCGCTCAACGGTGAAGCGAGGCGGACGGCGGTGCGTCTGGCGGCGGCGGCGGCGTCGGAGGAGCTGGTGGAGTGAGCATGGTGAACGCCAGCGGCATTCCCATCTCGGCCAGCGGCGGTGGCCTGGCCACGCAGCCGCAGAGCCTGCTCAATCCGGTCACTGGCCTCAACGTGCAGATCAGCACCAAGAAATGTAAGACTGCCTCGCCCTGCGCGATCTCCCCGGTGCTGCTCGAGTGTCCCGAACAGGACTGCAGCAAGAAGTACAAGCACGCCAATGGGCTGCGCTATCACCAGTCGCATGCCCATGGAGCGGGTGGTGGTGCCAGTTCCATGGACGAGGATTCAATGCAGGCGCCAGAGGAGCCGGCCACGCCGCCCTCGCCGGGCGTGGCAAGTGGAGCGGGATCTGGAACCACTGCCGCATCGACAGCCAGCCAGCCAGTCTCGGCGGCAGCGCCATCGACGGGTCAGGGAACCGTGGCAGTGCCCCCCAACACGCCAACCGCCAATTCCAGCAATCCCGTCACCAATGGCAGTGCTACACCCACGACATCATCCACTGGTTCGGCATCAATGGCCGCCTCCAGCACCACCATCACCCCCTCGGTGGCAGAGACGCCATCTGCAGCGTCTATTTCTGCACCCACACCAGCCACGCCACCAGCTCCAACAACTTCCATCTGTGCAGTGGCAGCGCCGGGAGCAGAGCAATCTGCAGTATCTGTTATGCCGCTGGGCAATCTTCCACTGACAGCAGGCCCCAATGCTGCAACACAGCAGCAGCAACAGCAGCAGCCAAACACACAGCAGCAACAGCAGCAGCAGCAGCAGCAATTGCTCACACCGGGAGGCAGTGCGGCAACAAGTAACCATCAGCAACAACCGGTGGCCGGAGGCAGCATCACGGCTGGCATCTCTGGACAGGCTCTGTCGCAGCACCAGCAGCAGTTGATGGGCGGATTGCCGGCCATGTTGTCGGACCAACAGCAGCAGGCTTTGCTGCAGCAGGGAGCAAGTAAGTACTTATCATCTGATCGATTCTCAAATCGATTTTGGTGCAAGATCAGCAGCTATCAGCAGGTTTTAATATATATATATGTATCTCCTCTTTAGTTAAAGCGGGTGTCCTGCGCTTTGGGCCACCGGATGGCAATCCCCTGCAGCAACAGCAACCGGGTCAGCCGCCAATCAATCCGCAGACACAACAGTCGCCTCCCAGGCCGCCCAGTCATATCCAGGATGCGCAGCAGACGCCATCGGCCTACGCCCAACAGGCAGGCTTGAAGACCTCACCCGGTTTCGGTTCAGCCGTTGGCGTAAGTGCCGCTGGCAGCAAGCAAAAGAAGAACCGCAAGTCACCCGGACCTGGTGACTTTGAGGGTCGTGTTTCGCGCGAGGATGTGCAGAGTCCGGCCTACAGTGATATCTCCGATGACTCAACGCCAGTGGCCGAGCAGGAGCTGCTGGACAAGTCGGTCGGTCAGGTGGCGGCAGCGGCAGCAGCGGCGGCGGCCGCCAAGCACATCGAGTTGATGGGCAAGAAGCCCCAGGAAGTGGGCGTAGGCGTGGGCGTGGGCGTGGGAGTACCACCAGCCCCGGCTCCCAACATGTATGTGCCGGGAATGTATCAGTTCTATCCGGCCCAGCCGCAGGCACCGCCTCCACCGCAGCAGCAACAGCAGCAGCAGCAGCAGCAACAACCGCAGTACATGGTGCAGTCGGAGCCGGGAAAGCCGCCAGGACTGCCACCAGCGTTGACCCAATCTCAGCAGCAGCAGCAACAGCAACAGATGCAGCCGGGTGCACCTCCGCCTACCTCTCAGCCGCCCAGTCATTTGCTGGGTCCACCTGGACCCGCCCACCTGGCGGACTACAGTGGCAAGAACAAGGATCCGCCGCTGGATCTGATGACCAAACCGCAGCCACAGCCGGGCCAGCAGCAACAGCAGCAGCAGTCGCAACAGCAGCAACAGGGTCAGCAGTCGGGACCGGAAAACAATGGCAAGGAGATCGTTGGACCGCCCACGTCGCAGCCGGGATCTCAGCCGCCGCCGGTGAACTTGAGTGCGGTGACTGGACCGCCACCAGGAGGTCTGCCACCCGGTCTCGGTGGCCTCTCCGCACTGGGAGCAGCCGGTTTGGGTGGACCTGGTCCCGGCAAGGGCATGCCCCACTTCTATCCCTTCAAGTAAGACTTCGCATCCCTATCTAAAGGGTATAAACTAATCATCTGTTTCGCTTTTAGCTTTATACCGCCTGCGTATCCGTACAACGTGGACCCCAACTTTGGGTCAGTTTCGATAGTGGCCTCTGAGGAGGCTGCCAAATTGGGAGGACACCCCGGACTGCCGCCCAGTTCGCAGGCGCCACAGCTGTCGGGGATTAGTATCAAGGAGGAGCGCCTCAAGGAGAGTCCCAGTCCGCATGACCAGCCCAAGCACTTGCCACCACAGCAGCAGGTGAGTCTCCACTTGAATGATGAACCTTTTGCCGCAGCTAATGCTAAATGTGTTAAATGTTTATCGCGCAGATGCTTGCCAACAAGCTGATCAAGCAGGAGCCGATGACCAAGCAGGAAATCAAGCAGGAACCCAACTCGAATCCGGGTCAGCAGCATCCGCCGCCAACGCAGCAACAACAGCCGGCGCCACAGCAGCAGCAGCAACAGCAGCAGCAGCCGCCACCGCCGCAGCCACAGCAGCCGCATGCCCTGCATCCCAAGGATCTGCAGGCACTGGGCGCCTATCCCGCCATCTATCAGCGCCACTCCATGAGTCTGGCGGCCGCGCAGCAGGCGCGCGACGAGGAGCTGAGACGGTAAGTGATGCGGATAACACTATAAAGTTATGATAATCTTTATAGATCCAATGACTAACTCGGATTTTCTATTCTCTTCCCAATCAGTTACTATATGTTCACGGGGCGACAAAATCAGGCAGCAGCTGCTGCAGCTGCGGCAGCTCAGAATGCAGCCAGTGCCGGGCTTCAACCTCATCCTGGCATGATGCACAAGGATGAGCCCGGCATGGGATCGGCGCAGCAGCAACAGCAGCAGCAGCAACAGCAGCAACAGATGCAAATGGCTCAGCAGCAACAGCAGGCGATTCAGCAGCATCATCAGCACCTCCAACAGCAACACCAACAGCAGCAACAGCAACAACATCAACAGCAGCAGCAGCAGCAACAACAACAACAGCAACAACAACAACAACAGCAGCAGCAAAAGCTTAAGCAGTCGCAGGCGGCAAATGCGGCGGCCAACAACAAGGCCACCAATCTGACAAAGGATTCGCCCAAACAAAAGGGCGCTGATGACGATCAGCCGCTGAAGGTGAAACAAGAGGGCCAGAAGCCGACCATGGAGACGCAAGGACCGCCACCGCCACCCACGTCGCAGTACTTCCTCCATCCGTCGTATATTTCGCCGACGCCCTTTGGCTTTGATCCCAATCATCCGATGTACCGCAACGTGTTGATGTCGGCCGCCGGACCGTACAACACGGCACCGTATCACCTGCCCATCCCGCGCTACCATGCCCCCGAAGATCTGTCGCGCAACACCGGCACCAAGGCGCTGGATGCACTGCATCATGCGGCCAGCCAGTACTACACCACCCACAAGATCCATGAGCTCAGCGAACGTGCCCTCAAGTCGCCCACCAGCGGCAGCGGCCCCGTCAAGGTGAGCGTCAGCAGTCCCAGCCTCGGGCCGCCCCAGCAGGGTGGCGGACCCACGAGCAGTGGCCCCGGTTCCGGACCCGTTGCCGGAGTCCTCGGCCCCGGCAGCGGTCCCAACCAGCAGCCCGGCTCGGCACCTGGGTCTGCGGGCGGTGTGCCGCTGAACCTACAGCCACCACCCGGAGGAATGGGCCCGGCGCCCGGCACCAAGCCGGATCTCTCCGGTCCCAAAGGACATGGCGGTGTGCCGCCCGGGTCGTCATTGGACGGCCACAAACAGTCGATGGCCGGCGGTCCGCCGCCGTCCAATGGGCCACCAGGCAACGGAGCCGTGGGCGGAGGCGTTGGAGTGGGCGGCGCTGCGGGCAATGGCGCGGCGGGAGGCGGCGGTGCAGGTGCCGCCGACTCGCGTAGTCCACCGCCGCAGCGTCATGTTCACACCCACCATCATACGCACGTCGGCCTCGGCTATCCCATGTACCCGGCGCCATACGGAGGTGAGTAGTCAATTGGGTTTTAATCTGGCCAAGTGATATACTAATCGGGAATTATACTTTTTTAGCGGCTGTTTTGGCTAGCCAGCAGGCGGCTGCTGTAGCTGTGATAAACCCGTTTCCGCCGGGTCCGTCGAAATGAGATCCACTGAACGGCAGCAACGAGAAGAAGGCGTATAACGTGAAGAACAATTAGTGCGGTGCGATGCCCGCCCAGAGTGCATTTCCGAGATCACCCAGAGTGGACAGAGTGGGGAGTTCCCCCCCCCATTGGATTCCAAGCACTTCCCGTCGAAACCTGACGCAGTCTTGGCTGCCTCTAAAAGAGAGTCCCTTTCGGTGCTGATGCATCGGTGTTTTGTTTTGGGGAACCGAGAGGAATCGAGCAGAATCGACTATTTATATGCATAAGTATTTTGTATTTGATGTTTCGTTCAACGTGGTTAACTATAAACTAGCCTAAGGTATCACTACTATTACCACATACAACCTATACATATATAAATATATATAGCATAACTACATATAGCGACGTTTTTCCTAAGTGTATTTGCATCTGCATATAGATATCTATATTTATATTTATAACATACGAGAGAGGCGTAAACCGAACATGAACAAACAACAAACAGCAAACAATTGAAACATACAAAAAAGCAAAAAAAGTAAAAAGCATAAAAAAAAACAAAACCAGATACTGTAGGATGTTGATTTCTTTGTAAAAATAAACATTTAACGAAAGTGAAACGAAATGAGAAATACAAATGTATGGATATTGTTTAACTAATTGATTCTAAATGATTAAATTATGCAAGTAGGACGTACAAGTTTAGCATTTAGCGTGTGTATTAATTATCCTTATCTGTGTTGCGGATGGAGCTGCGCGGGATTTGCATCTAAAAGACAAATTGGGCGCGCCGCCCATTCAATTCTTATAAATATATATAGTATATATATATATTATGTGTATCTAAATCTATATCTATGTGTGTACTACTCGTAACCGTAGTTTCTATGTTATAAGTTATCCGTGAATGACTACGATGAATTTTTCGGCCAGCAGCCGCACACTAATTTAAATTGTTTCTAAGCATCAATTTGTACTTTAAATATTTATACGCATATGCATATATGATATGATAATTGGAGGAGAGATATATGTATGTAATTAAACGATTATCTATGTGAATGTGGGTGTGTAGTAGTTCACTAGCCGCTTCATAGACTCTACACGCGTGATTTATGGCACTTAATGTTCTTTAGTCTAAGACCCCCTACTCCCATACCCCAAAAAACCACACACACACATCAATTCTTCTTTAGAATTTATAAATAAAACAAGTATTGATTGTAAATATACCTTAAAAAGCGAGTCTTTTGTATTGTAAATTAGTTCCACTGATTGATTTGGTGGCCCTGCACATTGCATTGCCACCAAGTTCGTGTTATAAACATTAATGCATCATATTGTAATGTACTATATAGAGACATATGTGTGTTTGCAGCAGTTGCAGCTGCAGCAACCCATAGACGAAACGAAATCGAAATAGCGCGCATAATAGCAATTTGAATTATGTCTTCATGTGTAGATCAGCGAGTGTTATCCTAACACCACTTTTAGAGTCGCTAGGTTTTTTGACATTCTCCTCAATGCAATTTGTAATCAAATCATAGATACAAACAACAAACACAACACAACATAACAATTAAATGGGGTTTAACAAATAACCATAGTAATGGCTTATGTAATGGTACAAGCAGAGTTTTATACAAATTATGTATTTTAGAGAAGGTAAAGCGCATTGAATTGAATTCGAAACAATGAAATTGTATCTAAGCAAAGAATGTAATCCACAAAACGGCTAACTAAAGCTAAATCAAGCATACAAATATTGACGAATATGAACAAAACACATAACTAGCGGCTAAGAAATTTCAACAAAATATAGTACACATATTTAAAGTATACAGAAAAAAAAATTATAAAAAACAAAAACAGCTTTAGATGTGAATAAAAAAATATGTAATTAAATCAATGGGTTGTTTTTTCGTTATATTGCAATATTTGTTCAATTAATTATACATGTTTCTTGTGTTTGGGATTAAGTCTTGTTTTTAATATCATAAGTTAGTTATTTCTAGGGTTATTGGTTATGCACTGCCCAGTGGTATGATAAAGCTCATATAGTCGGCTGTGGCACCCCAAGCTGTGCGATTCGTCTGGAATATCACTATCCAAGCACTGAGTACTATAAGCCAGAACAAGGTTCCCACCGCGGAGAATATAACAACTGGGGAAGATCGGTAAAAGCAATAACATTACCGAGTTCTATATATAAATATAAATTGTGTAAGCTTACATTTCTTTATCTGGCTCTGTTCCGGATATGGCGGCTTATGGAAGGCTTCTTGGAAAAACCAACAAACGTTGATGGCCCATACAAATGGCAAAAAGGCAAACCCAGCTGAAGAAATAAATTAAAGTAATAGAATAAACCCTTTTACACGCATTTTAGTTACTCACCAAAGAAATATTTACGACAAAGCTCCAGTTTTCGTGGATTTGGTGCCTTTGAGATGTCCATGATTAATCTTTTCTAAAACGTGTGGGCGTTTCTTTGGCTTCTAATTTAATTATATTTTAGGGAATGTTATTTATATCACACTTTACTGTGGTTTAAGTAGTAGAGTTAACAAAAAAGTTGTTTTTAAATAACTGTAGTTAATATTTTCTGTTTTATGCTTTCTTTTCGGTTTTGTTGATTTTTGTTGTATGTTTCATTAATCGGTAGCTATCGATAGTCTCAGCTTTATCAGTTATCGAAATAGTGATGGGCTGAGTAAACAGTGACTCTGTCGGTATTTAAAATTAAAACAGCATAATTGTATATATGCTACATTAATTTTAAATATCGACAAAACAATTTAAGGCTACAAAACAATAAAAGTAGGCTCTTATAAAGTTGAAAGTTTGTCAGATATGTCATTTAACTTCAATTCAGTCCCTGCGCATACATAAATTTATTCCCTTTAAAAAGTACGCATTAAGTCATTTAAAAAATAATTCTTAAAATTCGCGTTTTTATTTATATAAAAGTATATATGTATTAAAATTAATTTTTGATAACAAGTAAACGTTATTCCGAGAGTTGTCTTTCCCAGTTCAGTGTTGTAAAATCTTTGTAAAGTGGACTATCGATAGTTTGCTGCACGCATCACTATTTTAGAACACACCGCGTAAAAGCGACGCCGATTTCAATTTCAACGATTTGCGAAAAGTTTGCGAGAAACGAGGACAAAATGGCCGACGTGGACGACTTTGACTCGCTGTCCAATGCAGAGCTGCGCACCAAGATGCTGGCCCAGGGGCTGCCCAACATCCCAGTGACGGACAGCAGCCGCAAGGTGCTGGTGAAGCGTCTACGCGCCTCCATTGGCGGCCAATCGTCGCCGGCAGCCAGTCCCAAAAAGGGCGGCCGGCGGGAGACCCTGGCTCCTGGACCCGCTCCTGTGGCCTCCGCTCCGGCGGCTGCCTCCACGCCGGTGGACAAGTTGGACGGCAATAAAGTGGCACCCGCCACCAAGGCTCGTCGCACCATCACGGCCGCGATCGCCGCTACGGAGGTGAAGGAAGCTGAACGCCGTCGTCCCGAGGAGCAGGTGGTCGCCAGGAAGCCATCGGCTGTTGCTGCTGCTGCTGCTGCTGCTCCAGCTGCGCCGATTCAGACACGACGTACTTCCACCTCGTCGACGGGTTTCGAAAGAAAGGTGGTGGAGCCGGTGAAGAAACCAAAACCCATTGCCGAGGAACCGGTAGCCTCCAAACGCGCTGACCGCGAAGAAAACTACCTGAAGGTTAACTCACTGATCGTCCTGGAATCGGACGAAGAGGAGGACGAGCAGCTGGCCCAGGCTGCTGATCTGGTGGAGCAGCAGCACGCGGCCAGGGAGAAGGCGACTTCGAAGCTCGCAAGCAGCGGCACCACCACCTATGAGTACAAAAGCAAGGTTTCCTCTGTGGTGGAACCACCACGTCGTCCGGTCTATGAACCCACAGCCGCTCCTGTGTTGTTGGCCTCTTCTGGACCCACTGCCAGGTCGCAGACACAAACACAGACCACCAGTAGTTCGGCCAGGTCCTATGATTACCTGAATAACCCGACCGGCGGTCGCTATAGCAGCTATGTGCGTACCGCCACCCAGGGTTATGTCACGGCCGAGGCTCCGCCGGCTCCCACTTACACATCATCCAACTATCGAAGCACCTATGCCAACGAGCTGAGCGACGAGTACGAGGCGGAGGAAGAACAGTACGAGAGCACCTTTGCCCAGAATCTGGCACGCTTGCGGTCCGAAAGGATCGGGGATCGCAACAGTCCGTACAGCAGGCGCACTTTGGCCAGTGGCTCGACGGGCGGCGGAAGTCTGGGCTACGAGCCGCGTGCCCGACGCTCTCTGCGTCCGGACGACAACAGCGTGTCGGTGGCCTTTGGTCGCTGGTGGAACAGCCTGGAGCAGAAGTACCACGTCAAGTCGAAGCTGTTCATACTGTTCGTTGTCGTATTGCTAATCGGCGTCTATAGCATATTCTTCTGACCAGCGACATTAGTACACACTTTTTTGTCGAATCTCTGTATCCTAGTTTGTATTCCATGTTGGATTTGTTTTGTAAACGGGCCCGCCGCTGCGGACTGTATGAATCTTGTTTCGATGTAATTTGAGCCTGAGATTGACTAGCATTTAAGCTCTGTGTGTTATCCGTGTTCCAATAAAGCCCACTTGCAGGGAATCGTCTCAGATGACCAGTTTGTTGTTGTTGTTGTTGTTGTTCGGATGTTTTTTTTTTTTCTCCAAATGGCATTTGCGGCAGGTGTTTGCCCAGATCGGATCAAGAAATAGCAGCAGCAGCTAACAGCAACAGCAATGACGATCGGCTAATGATGGAAAAGTATCTGGAATGCGTGTACAACACTTGTCGGCATGACTGTGACCAAATGGAGGCGCAATGACAACAAGATGCCTCCTCTTAAAAACCAAACTATAACTATTCCCGCTGCGAGTTGGAAATCCTTGCGTTGCAATCAGAATTAATAAGAATTTTACAAGTCGGCGATGAATGTGCGTTATTTTTAAATCCTGCCCCCAAGGTTGGGCTGTTTAATTTTATTAACTGGAAATCGCACTTGCGCGTATTTCTTCATTTTCTTAAGGAAAATTACGCGCCATATTTAGCGGCAACAAGCGCGACCGGATCCGGGTCTGTCTTGCATGCCTGCAATAAGTTATGAAAATTGCAACAGCAACAGCAGCAGCAACAGTTGCTCAGGGGAAATGCCTGTCGCTGCTGCCGCCGCCGCCGTCGATGATGAATTCCACAAATGCATGGAACAGCCAGGCGGCAGATTCCTTGAAAAACAAAGCCATGAGCCCATACAATATATCGTGTGGCTAATAAATACGCCGCGCATTGCTAGTTGCTCTTAATGAAATTAACTTCCAGGAATTACCTACATGGCAGCAACGA